CCCCTGACTGAGGTGAGTCACCCTACCACAGAAGGGCAAGCGGCACTCACGATGATGTCGCAATCTCAGACACAGCCTAGAAAGGTCTCTAAGGACAGAGCAGCCAGGCCTTCAGCTAGCTGCTTATTTTGCTGACGTTTATTGAACGCACACAACATAGCAGCGGCCACTCAGTATGTTACATGTACTGTCTTGACCTCCACTGTAAACAAAAGACATGAAGCCCAGAGTGGGGAAGTGAATGGTCCCATGTCACACAGCCAGAAAATGGCAGCACTGGGATTTAATCCAGAATCTGCCAGCAATTCTTCTCAGAGCCCAAGGACTACCAGGAGACCATGGCAGAGTGAGCTGGTTATTTTGTTCTGTTTAACAGGAAGGGTGGGGGTGTAGTTCAGTGGTAGATGACTGCCTAGCATTTATGAGGCCCTGGGTTTGATCCCCAGCACCACACATACAAGGAAGGCCGGAGTAGTGGACGCCACCTTACAAAGAATCCCACCAAAGGAGGTGCAAAGAACACGATTTTGGGTGAACAGAACTAGGTTGTTTTTTTTTTTTAACTCAGGACCTTGTGCTTGGGAGGCAGAGCTACCACTGGAGCCACGTTTCCAGCCCTTGCTTTTTTTAGCCTGGGTTTGCCCAGGCTCTCCACAGACCATGATCGTCTCACTTATCCCTCCCATGAAGCTGATATGACAGGCATGCACCATCATATCTGGTTTATTTTGTTGAAATGGGGTCTCATTAACCTTGCCAGGCCTGTTCTCAAACCAGGATCCTCCCAATTTCCACTTCCTGAGTAGCAGGGATTACAAGTGAAAGCCATGATTTTTGTTGTTACATTTATATGAGATGTTGGTGTTATAGAGTTTTTGGTGGTATATTTACTAAATTCAGAGGAAGAGTGATATTTTAAAGTGAAATCATTGTATTAAAATGGGAAAAACCAAAAAATTTATATATGAGACTAAAAAAGAGTAATAGGCTGGGCACTGGTGGTCATTCCTGTAATCCCAGCTACTCAGGCCCTGGCAAATAGTTCAAGAGACTAGCCCAAAAATACACAACACAAAGAAAGAACTGGTGGAGTGGCTCCAGATGGGAGAGCACCTACCTAGCAAGTTCAAACCCCAGTACCACCAAAAAAGAAGAAAATAAAGTGAGGAGTCTAGTTCAGTTCTAGCCATAGAAGTATATGGTAAAAAAGACAGGAGTATGAGGCCAGACATGTTGGAGAAAAAGCCGTATGTAATGGTCAGGAGCAGTAATCCCTGCCCTCTGGAGGATGAAGCAGGAAGATGGCAAGCTTGAGGCCAGCCCGGGTTACACTGCAATACCATTTCTCAAAACAAACAAAAACATTGGAGGTAATGTTACAGGTAGAATTTGAATATATTTAATCAGAGTAAGTTATGACCGTCAGTAAAATTCTTATTGTACATTGACAATTTTTTTTTTTTAATTTGAAGCCAGTCATGGTATCTCATGCCTGTAATCCCAGCACTTGGGAGTCTGAGGCAGGAGGGTTAAGAGTTTGAGGCCAGCTTAGGCTACGTAGTGAAACCTTGATCTCAAAAAATAAAAAATAAAAAATAAGATAGAGTGGTATCATGAGGAAAAGCCATCAGGTTTTAAATATAATTGGCTAGGTTATCCAGAAAACTCCCTCATCCAGATGAGGTGCCTTTCCTGACGTGCCTCCTTCCTCTAAGAAGGGGTGTGTGATGGGGGGTTCTTCAAGTGACGCCCCTTGGTGGCCCTCACCATTCCCCAGGACAAAGGGCTGAGAGGTGACTCCTCCGAGGACAGGGGAAATGAAGAAGTAATGTACAAGAGAACGCATCACTCACTCATGGGACGAGTGCATGGCCCAGCCACTGGGACATCCAGGCTGTGTGGGGAGGTCTGACCTGGATAAAACCTCCATTTTCCTGGCTTAGTTACCCACACGGGGCAACCTGGAGCCACTGCAGACAAGCACCTGGGCCAGAGGCAGTCAGCCCAGCCTCAGTTTCCCCAGATGTTGGTCGGCTATATGTGGGGTAAAGAAGCCCCACTGAAAATACACGTTAGGCCTTCCGTCAGCTCACCTGCTTGTCTTTTGCTTCCTCTTCTTTCTTCACCTCCTGGAAGAGTGGAAGGCCAGGCCAAAGCAGCCTCTCTACCTGGACCCTTCCTGCATCCACGTGGTTGGTTCACCCATGCTTCTGTGTCCACACTGGCCTATCCTGACTCCACTCCCAGGTCTAGGCCAGGCCGGGCCATGCCAGGCCAGGACCCAGGGAGGAAGCCATTCAAGGGGAGAGATGCCCGGCCTCAGGCCAGGTGGGGGAGCAGCCCATAAATCAGGTCCCACTCCCACCCAGTTACTAACAAGCTGGTTGCCTACCCTCCTACGTGGGGTCCCTGCCTCGGGCTCCCACAGAGGCCTGGCCAGCCAGCTGGCCAAGGCCTCCACAGTGCCTTGGCCTCCGCCCCCACCCGCGGCCCCCAGATAGATAGGAGTATTTTTTTTTTCTTTTAGGAGAAGAGAAAAAAAGAGACCTAAATGAAGAGAAACACCAACAAAGGAGGAGAGAGGCCTGCGGAGTCACGTGGGGGCAGAGACCAATTGGGCCTCCGGTGGCCCCCCCCAGGGCGGGGAGGAGGAGGAGGACGAACGGACAGGGCCAGCTTGCTGTCCGCCTGCGCCCGCTGCGGTGTGAAGGAGTTGCTGCGTGCCCACGGTCACCACTGCCCCACCTGGGGTGCCAGGGCCTCCCCACCCTGAACCTGGTGCCCACTGTCCACCCTCATCCGGCGTGAGAGCTCTCCTTCCGCTCCGTAAGTGAGGGCCTGGGCCCAGGCCTCTAAGGGCCAGCCTCCCTCCTCAGTGCCTCCCTGCGGCCTGGGCCGGCCACTGCCTGCTTTACAGAGTGACCAGTGCCTGCTGCTCCGGCCAAGGAAGGGGCCTGGTCTCCCTAGATCTACTATCCCATCATGATACCCCTCCTCTTCCCTGGGCCGGTGATGGGAGGAGCTAGGCCTATGGCGACAGACCCTTTGGGGTCCCCTGTTGTCCTAACAGTGGCCTAGCTGCGGCACAAGCGTCCCTCTCTGGGTCTTTGGATCTCCCCGCTTGGGTGTCTGGGCTGTCTCTCTGGAGGTCTCTGAGTCTGTTTGTCCACTGTCTCCAGTGTCCATTTGTCAGTCCGGTTTCTGTGGCTGGGCCAGGATGCACTTTGCTTCCCAGGGTAGGTGGGTGATTGCTCGTGAGTCCCTGTGTGGGGCAGGGGGTGGGCTCCCAGCCTGAGAGGGTGCAGCCGGGGAGGGGGCTCACATGGAGAAGAGGCGAGCTGGCTGGGAGCCCAGCCCCCACCCACCTGGGCCCAGGCTTGTGCCTACATCTGGGGCCTTCTCAACACTGTCCAGGAGCCCATGGTGGGCTCTACCCTCGAGAAGCCCCCAGGGAGCCCAGCCCCAGCCCCCTTCACTTCCTGCGGCCGGTGGCAGCAGCTCCCCAGTCCACTTTTTTGTTGTTTTTCTTTTTGGCCGCTCTGCGTATGGAACCCAGGGCCTTCCACAGTGAGCACTCTGCACTGTCACACCCCCACCCCGGTGTCGCTTCCCAGGGCTCCTCTCTGGTGCAGAGTGGTTCAGAGACGGAGGTCGGGCCCACCTCCGGCTCCCACTCGTGCTGGAGTTCCTCGGGGGCTTGGGGTGGGGGGTCTGCCATTCACTTGGCTTTCTCTCCTCCCTGCTCACCAAGATTCAATCACAGCAGCACGCGGAACGGCAGAGCCCATCTGTGGGGCGGGTCTCTTCACGTTACGTACGGAGAAACTGAGGCTCCAAGGACCCAAGTGGCTTGCTGGAGCCGCAGGTTCCGCCCCTCACTCCGCAGGGAGGGCGAGGCCAGGGGTGGTCTGCGCGGGCTCTTCGGCCTTGGCTCGCAGGACCAAGGCTCCAGCTCCCCAGAAGCCGGGGCCTCCCTCCGGCGGGGGCCGGGCGGCCTCGGTCGGTGGGTCGCCTGCGTGTGACTGCGGTGCTGCCCAGCCCGGAGAGCGCGGCTTTCCTGCGTCGCGGTCCCCAGCCCCCGTGCCCGAGGGGGCGGGGCAGGACCCGTTAGGCCTCTTCCTCTCTGCGCCTCAACTGCTTCACCTAGAAAACCGGAGTAGCCCAGTGGATGTCCCCAGTCCAGAGCAATGGCTCTGCCCATCCCCCCCCCTCGTTGTCCTCGAGGCTCCCCAACTCCCGCCTCCGCCCAGCGAGAGCTCAGAGGGGTACAGGGGTGCGGCTCCCGGGCTCTGCCAGCCCAGCTCCCGCCCCCTCGACCCTTCGGTGCTCACCAGCCCTTGGGGTTTGGCAGAGTGGGAAGACTACAAGTCCCATTTCCAGCCCAGCACACTGAGGCTCCTGGCGGGGGGAGGGGAGAAGGGCGGAGGGGAGCGGAGGAGGACACAGCGGGAGTTGCCCCAGATCCGCCGCTGGGCGCCGCCGAGAGCTTCCGCCCGGCCAGGGTGTGCTGGCCAGGGCGCTCCGTTCACCCGCCACCCCCTGAGGAGCACTGGGCATCATCCCACTTCACAGATGAGGAAACTGAGGGCTGGAGGGGGTACTTAGGCTCGAGTGAGGAAATGTAGCAAGGCCAACACGAAAGCCTGGTTTCTACCGCCGAACGCGTGCCTTGGCCACGGACCCACGCCCTCTCTTACCCACTTCCACGCTGCAAAACGCCCAGCGTCCCCGGCTTGGCCCTGGCCACCCACCGCTAAGCTGGACTTGCAAACAGGAGCTCGCCTCCTCCCACCGCAGGCGCCCGACACCTGCCCGGATTCCGGAGCGCTGGGGCTCCCCGGTTCTCCGGTCGCTCGCAGGTCCGGGGTCCGGCTAGGGCTTGGGGGGCGGAGAGGTGACGGTGAAGACGCCCGCGGGCTGGGGGGAGGGCAGGGCGCAGGCCGCGCGGGGGGAGGACGCGGGCCGCGCCTCCGCCCCCGGATACCGCACGCGCCCATATAGCGCGCGGGCCCCGGGCCCGGCGTGGCGGGTTCGCGCAGCGTGCAGTGCGGCGGAGGGGCCCGGGTCCCAGGTGCGCCTGGAGCGGCTCTGGAGGCGGCGGGGGCGGGGAGGCGAGGGGTGGGGGGAGCCCAGGCCCCCGCCTCCCCGCCCCCGGCCCGAGCGGCCGTCATCGCGGGCGGGCGGCGCTGCGCCCGGGTGCGGCTCATCGCCGGCGGCGGCGCGGCCGAGAGGTGCTGCGATCCGCGCGGGCGGGACGCGGGGCGCTGCTCGCGGGAGCGGCCAGGTGGACGCCGGGCGGGCCGCGGCTCCGCGCGCTTCCGTCCTCGGGACTTGCACTCTCCGCCCGAGGTCGCCCCCCGCCTGGGGCTCGGGCCTCCCAAAGCCCGCGCCGTCTCCGCCCGAGGTCTCCGCGCCTCGCGCGCGCCCGCGGCCCCCCGCTGCGCCCTCTTCGCCGCCCGACGGTCTCGGTTGGTGTGGGCGCCGCGGGCCGCGCGTCCCGGTGCCGTCGCTGTGCGGGCTTTGTCTCTCCCGGCTCGCGGGCCCCCGCGGCTTGGCGCTTTCGGGCTCCGCGTCCCCGCACCGTCGTTCTCCGCCTTTCGGCTCGGGCCCCGGGCCGCCGACTCTGCGGGGCCACGCCTCGGAGCTCGCTTCCCGAGCGTCTCCCCGTCCCCGACCCTCTCGAGGGCGCCTCCGTCTCTCCAGGTTTTCTCTCGGTGTCTGTCGCTCCCTCGGCCTCGGTGTCCCCTAGGCGTCTGGTCTCTCCGTGTCTCTGGCTCTGCGTCCGCCTCTCCCAGCTTGATTTTTGGACCTCCGGCTCTCCTCCGACTCCGACTGTCTTTACTCATCTGTCTGTCCATCCGTCCGTCCATCTCTGTATGTATCTATCATCTGTCATCTGTCTACGAATCTCGTCTCCCCAGATTTTCTCTGACTCGGGATCAGGGTTTTCTCTTCGTTGAGCAGCGTCGGTCGGGGTCTCTCTCTGTCCCCCGCACTGTCTCCGTCTCTCATCTCTGTGGGGTCCCCAGAACACTCGGGCCCGCGCCCCACTCCGTCCGGGTTCACTGGTGTCTGTCCTCCCCGCGCCCCGGCCCATCTCGTTTTCTCAGAATCGGGGTTTTGTTCTCAGACAAACGAATCCGAAACGAAGCGCATCGAATCCGGGGGTCCCGGATCGGGCGTGGTGGGGGCGACGCGGGAGGATCCCAGCAGGGTGGTGGGCGGTCGTGCGGCAGCGCTGGGATGCGGCTGGCACCTGGCTGCCACCCTGCTGCCCAGGCCCACGCCGGGGAGCTGCCCTGGGCACCCGGCGGGTTCCTGCAGCGGGCCGCCCTAAAGGGGCAACGCGACGCGGTGACCTCGGGGTGCGGGACCCTCCAGACCAGGCCAGCCCGCTGCGGGGTCGCCGTCGGCGCGCCGTGACCCGCTCCTCTCTCCGCAGGTGGACGCCGCGGGCATGGACTATTCGTACGACGAGGACCTGGACGAGCTGTGCCCGGTGTGTGGGGACAAGGTGTCCGGCTACCACTACGGGCTGCTCACGTGCGAGAGCTGCAAGGTGAGCGGGCGAGCGGGCCGCGGGGCTGGCCGGCGTGCGGGCGACGGGCGCAGGCCGTGCGGGGAGCGTCCGAGGTCGGGCCCCTCCCGCGCTGACTGCCTCTCCTGCAGGGCTTCTTCAAGCGCACGGTGCAGAACAACAAGCACTACACGTGCACCGAGAGCCAGAGCTGCAAGATCGACAAGACGCAGCGCAAGCGCTGTCCCTTCTGCCGCTTCCAGAAGTGCCTGACGGTGGGGATGCGCCTGGAAGGTGCGCGGCCCGCGGGCCTCCACCCCGACTTCCCGCGACGCCCCAGCGCCGCGCGAGGGGTTGAAGGGAGAGCGCCACCGACCATCTCCAAGTTTCGGGGGCCAGGCGATTGGCCCCTGGCGTGACATTAGGGCCCAGTGCGGGCGGGGGAAGGGAGGAGGTGGAAAAATCCAGGGAACTGAGGCCTCCGGCAGGGCCAGCCTGGGTTGGGGTGAGAAGTACCTGAAAATGAATTCCAGGGAGATGACTCCTTCCCCAGCCTGAGCAGCCCAGCGCAAAGCCGAGCCCCCGCAGAGCTGCGTCCCTCTGACGAGTTCCCTGTGGGTGCCCCACACCTTAGCCAGACCCAAGGCGTTCCATGTCCTTACCACATTCAAATCCCAGTACCACTCCTTGCAGGCTGGGGGATATGGGGCAAGTTCGTTACCCTCTCTGAGCTGCAGATTCCCCATGGGAAAATGGGCTTAATAAGTAGTTCCATCTCCCTTCCCTCAGTTAGCATAAGGATGGAAGGAAGGAATGTAGGAAAAGCTCTAAGGTGCCTGATATGCAGTAAATACTCAGCAGATTAGCTGTTACTGTTCTTATCATCATGCTTTCTGCTATCATTTGTCAGTCTGTCCATCTGAAGGGTCACTCCGCAGGTGAGATTTCCTCTCATCATATTTTTCCTTTGGGGGACTGAACTCAGGGCCTCTTGATTCTTCCTACCACTTCAGCCCTACCCCCAAGTCCTCCCATCACATTCTTAGCCAAGCCTTGAGAACTGGGGAGTGGGGAACAGTTGTCCCCAGAGGACCCAGGCCCGTCTTTCTGCCCCCTGCTTCTGGAGGAAGATGGTTCAGTAGGAGGGACTCCGCTGTCTGTGAGTGAGGGGCGTAGCTTCCACCCCGCCGGCCCCAGCTGGGCTGTGTGCCCAGCCACAGCTGTTAGCTACAGTTTTTGAACAACTGAGAACTCTGAGAGCTACAGGCCACATGTCCTGCCACCTAAAGGAGGCACTCTTGGACAGGAGGGGACACTGTCCTGTCCCCAGAGTACACATCACTAGCTCCAGGTCCTGAGGGGCCAGAGAGGGTGCAGGACTGGCAGCCCAGCCTGGGGATAGGATGAGCTGTGGTCATTGTCCTGCGGAGCACCGCCCCCTCTCCCTTCTCCCAGAGCCCTGGGTCCGGTCCTGTCTGAGCAGGGGCTGGGGCCACACTCCAGCTGCAGAGATGCACCTGTTGGGTCTGGCTGGTGACACATTCTTGGCAAGCAGAGGAACATCTGGTCAGCAAGAAAGGCCCCCTCCCCCAGCACAGAGATTCAGCCAGCCCCATGCTCTGTCCCACACTTGAAGCCCGAGTCATCTTGTCAGAGGGGCTCAACAGAGTCAGGGAGTCAGTCAGTAAGCCGCTGGACACTGGGTACCCAGCTGTGAACAAAGCTGAGCAGGGCTTTCTTCCTGCCACCATTTTCTTGTCAGACTCTGTGCTGGCACCTAAACCAGAGCTGACCCCCCACACACACACAGGGGCTCTCAGCCTGGGGCATATGTGTGATATACTCAGCATGACAAGAGTGGGCAAGGTGCAGGAAGTTGGGGGAAAGGACGGAAGATTCTCCCTGGGTGGATATCCAGGAGTCCTTGCTGGAGGTGGTGGCATTGAGCCTGGGTATTCAACAAACACAAAGAGAAAGGAAAGAGTTTGAGGCAGAGGGACTATCAAAGGCAGGATGAAACGAGGAAGTGTCAAGCAGAGAGGTGAGAAAAGTGGAGAGGAAGGTTGTGGAAGGTTGAGCAGTGCCTTGATGCCAGGCTAACGAGACTGACTCCAGCTGAGGGCAGTGGGAGCTATGACAGGGTATTGAGCTCAGGAGGGGCACATCCCTTTGGGAAGGAGCTTTGGCAGGGCTGGAAGGAAGGAGCCTGACCCCTGCCTCTGTCCACAGCCGTGCGCGCTGACCGCATGCGGGGAGGCAGGAACAAATTTGGGCCCATGTACAAGCGGGACCGGGCCCTGAAGCAGCAGAAGAAGGCACAGATTCGCGCCAACGGCTTCAAGCTGGAGACAGGCCCCCCAATGGGGGTGCCTCCGCCGCCCCCTCCCCCACCGGACTACTCGCTGCCTCCCAGCCTGCACGCACCTGAGCCCAAGAGCCTGCCCTCCGGTCCAGCCAGTGGGCCACTGGGCGACTTTGGAGCCCCAGCACTGCCTATGGCTGTGCCCAGCACCCATGGGCCCCTGGCCGGCTACCTCTACCCCACCTTCTCTGGCCGTGCCATCAAGTCTGAGTACCCGGAGCCCTACTCCAGCCCCCCGCAGCAACCTGGGCCACCCTATGGCTACCCAGAGCCCTTCTCCGGAGGGCCCAGCGTGCCCGAGCTCATCCTGCAGCTGCTGCAGTTGGAACCGGAAGAGGACCAGGTGCGGGCACGCATCGTGGGCTGCCTGCAGGAACCAGCTAAAGGCCGCCCTGACCAGCCGGCAGCCTTTGGCCTCCTGTGCAGGATGGCTGACCAGACCTTCATCTCCATCGTGGACTGGGCCCGCAGGTGTATGGTGTTCAAGGAGCTGGAGGTGAGTCTGTCCTTCCCTCCCAGCCGGACAGCCCCTGGCTGTGGTGCAATGTCTCAGCTGCTGGCCCATATCTCTGTCTCCCCTTGGATGGGCTGTCCTGCCCACTGGCTTCAGGCAGGGTGGTGACAAGGAGGCCCCACTGGGGATGAGAAGGGACATTTCTAGTCCATCACAGCCTCCTGGTGCCTGCTACCCCTGCTCACTCCTTTATCTCCTCTCCTAGCTCCTCTAGCTCTCACAGCCTCTGCTTCTTTGACCTCCACCTCTTGTCTCCTCCTGCTGTCTCTCTCCCTGGCTGGCTGACTCTGTGTCTCCACATTTCTCCAGCCCTGTCAGTCTCTGGTTTGCTCTTGGTAAGGGTGAAAACCCCTCTTTCTCTGGACCCTGGACTCTCAGAAATGAGCTGGGTCTTGTCTTGTCCCTAAGGCCCCACCCCAATGTAGGAAAGGGGGCCAGCCCATCCTATCCTCCCTTTCAGGGAGGCTGCGAGTCCCCGCCAGCCTTAGATGTCACAGATGGGACTGAGTGTCTGAGTTCGGGACATCTGTGGCCTTATCTCTTCCTAGCTAAGGTGAAAGCTCTCACTGCCCTACCGCCTGTGTCTTGCGTGTGATGGTTGGTCTTGGCTGTGCGTCTGTGTGAGTCTGTACATGTGTAGGGGGGCAGGGTAGGGGATTCTAGCCAGTTGAGGCAGCCCTCCTGTGTCTCCAGACTCAGAGTTAAGGTACCAGAGAATGGAAAAAACCAGGAGAAACTGAGGCCAATTATAAGAACTCTCCTGGTGGTGTGAGGGCCCTGCGGCATGGGAGCCGCCCCTCCAGGTCAGCACCCCTGGCCGGCTGGGGCTGGGGCTGGAAACAGCAGGGCCGCTGCCCTCCCTGCTGGGCCTCTGCAGCCTTGAGCACTGTCAGTGCTGACGCCACTCAGGCCTGGGCTTCCTCAGCGCGGTGGCCAGATGGGCTGGGGGCCCTGTCCCTGGCTGGCATGGAAAGGGAGTAGGTGGACCGTGGACATTTTGAGGCCTGTTAGCAGCATGGGGCAGAGCCTGGGGGACTCTGAGAGTCAAGAACTGGTGATGGCTTTGTGTTTCTGTGGAGAAGCTGGCTTCTCATGGCTGAGACCTGGGGATGTGCCACGTCTCTCTCACCGGGTGGTTTCTCACCCCAGCCCCTCACCACTGGCCCTCTCTGGGCCCACCTTGCAGACGGAGCGGAAGGCAGTGTTGGGCATTCCCACCTGTGCCGTGGAGGATGGGGACCCCAAGATCCTTGGGTGGGTTGCCACCTTCCCTTCAGACTTCCCATGAGGCCCCTGTGCAGAGGGGAGGTGGAGCCAAGCATTCCCAGCCCCCCTGAACCCTGGATGCAGGGGCAGGGCACTTCCTCTGGCCGCCTTCCTAGTCTCCCGGGGTTTCACGCAGGATGGGAAGGGCTTTTGTCCAGCTTTGCTGAGTGTTTTTTCCTGCTTCTGGCTTCTCTGTGGCCCAAACCTTCCTGCTTCCCCTTCCCAAAACCCCTGGTGTGGAACCCAGGAATCTGGGCCATGGTCACCACCTCATAAGGGAGCTTTGCAGATGACACCAGCCCAGCCCTCAGAGTGCCTCTTGAGCTGGGGGTTGGGGGTCTTTCCACCGGCCCAGAGAACCCTGAGCTTGTGTCTGAAGAGCTCAGCATGAGGGGGCAGAAAAGAGAGAGGTGCTGAGAGATTCTGTTCTCTTTGCCTCACCGTCCAACTGACTGCCTCCGGGCAGGGCACAGCAGATGGAAGAGGGGCTCTGGCTCTGAGAGGAGGCAGCCCTTGGGCTGGGCACTGGGGAGCTGAAAGTTACCAGAGGAGAAGACAAAACAGACACATAGACAATGACAATATGTGGTGCCCAGGGCTTTGGGGACAGCGTAAGGGCAGAGGAGTCGAGGGGAGAGTGCATGGCAGAAACCCTCAGAGATGGCAGGGCATCCGTAGGCAGCGGGAGCAGCCTAGGCGAAGGCCCAGAAACGCGCAGAGTCATCCTGGGCGAGTTCTGTGTGGTTCCATGTAGAACCATGCAGGGCTGGAGAGACTGGCAGGTCAGAGCACAGTGTGGCACTTGGGGCCAGTGGGTGGTAGACAGCCTGAAGTGCTGGCTGAAGCCCCACATCCGGGGCCATCCAGTCCTCCTCAGTGACATCTTACTGTTCAGGAGAAGAAGGGTCTGGGATCTCAGCTGAACTGTCAGAGAGGCTGGGGTCCATCAGATGTGTCTGACCTGGGCCCTGGGTACCCTCTGGGGGTTTTCTTCTTCCTCTGTCCTCTGTCCCAGCTTGGTTGGCTGTCCATCAGTCTTCATTTTCCCACCTCACACAATGATAAGATATTGAGTCGGCAGTGGCACAGAAGCAAACACCAGAGGCCAGAATCAGAAAGGTTTGTCAAGCTCCTCCTCTGACACTTATAAGCTGGGATGACTTTGGCTAAGTGATGTTGCTCGGGCCTCAGTTTCCTCATCCACGAGATGGGAGGAGTTTAAGTAATAACCACCGCAGAGTTGTAAGGGTTTGGTGAGCCAGGACAGGGAAGAACTCAGGGCAAGGCCTGGCGCACAGGAAGTCCCGTCAGTGGGGTCAGCCCCTCCTTTCCTGTCTGCTCCTGTTGGCCCTGTAGGCGGGCCAGGAAGAGAACCGGGAAAGATACATTGTGTCCACCCGCTTCTGAGCTGCCACAAAGATGGGGGCCGCTTTGTTCTGGGCTGGTAGAGCAACTTCTTAACTGCAGAGTGGCAGACAGCACCTTTCCCTGCTGCACAGTGGGGAGCTCAGCCACTCCAGACAATTACAAAGGACAGGTGGGGGTGGGAGGGGGCAGAAGTGCCTAACGACCCTTGTCTTCATGTACCCATCCTCAGTGTCTGCTCTGATGTCCCCACTGGCATCAGACCTAATTGGCCAGATACATGGTTTTGTTGAGGCCACAGTAACCCCATCAGTCCCTCAGTCCTGGGCTGACAAACGATGGCCTGAGGTCACTCCCCTTGACCTGGCTCAGGCTGCAGCCAGCCCACGGCATGTCAGCCACTGGGGAGTTACTGAGGCGCTGGCCTTGGCTGCCAGAGTCATCAGACCCCAGGGGCTCCAGAGGGGCCTCAAGGGGAGAGGTCAGCATGGTGGCACCCATAAATACCCTTTCTCCAAGGCAGGCTCCAGGAAGATTTGTGGGGGGGGGGCGCAGCAGGAGGGCTGGGCAGCTGGGGAGGGGGGCCAACAGACAGGCCAGGATGGAGAGTGTCCCCTGAGCCAGGACTGCAAATGTCCTTGTGCAGAGAGGCCTGAGGGTAGTGGGGGAGGAAGCTGCAACTTAGGGAGAAACTTCTGGAAGGTGGAAACCAGCCCTCTTGGGTTAAGTGAGGCAGTGAGGCTCTTATACACCTGCTTTCTTATAGAGAGGGCTGGCAGCTGTGCCCCTCTAGGTTTTTAAAAATAAGGTGGGGGAAGGGGGTGCATGGGCTCATCATGGGGGAGTTGTTTTGGAGTTGGGTGTCTCTTGTGTCCATCTGTTGATCCAAGGGAAGAAGCAAGGGTCTGGCAGGAAAGCTAACTAGGAGGTGAGAGCCCGGCTGGCTCTGCAGAGCCCTTGGCGATGATGACCACGTGACTTCCTAGTCGTCTCCTCTAACCAAAAGAGAAGAGTGATTTGCTCCCACTGCGCAGAACAGGAAGACAGAGCCGAGCAGGTCCTCGATGGGGACTCAAACCCAGGGCCCAGGCAACAGTGTTCAGGCGTTCTCTGCCCTGGCCTCCCTCGCAGTCCATCCTCAGGGCTGCCCTGCCCTGGGGCTCTGGTCTGGGTACAGAGTCAGCTCCAGAGCTGGGCCTACCAGGTCACTGTGACCCTCTGCCTTCTGGTGAAGGCTCAACCTGTTTATCTCCTCACTCTGCCCCTTATCGCTTTTCCCACCACCCCCACCCTGTTCCTTCACTCTGGGCACAAGGGTGTCTGCCTCTGCGGCTCAGCTTGCAGTGGGTGGAGGGGGCCAACCCCAGCCTGTGTGGCCTCCATCCGGGTTACTCACAGTAGGCCTGAGTTTTCTTTGCCTCTACTGTGACCCTAGGCAAGTGCCTCCTACCTGGGCCTCAGGCAGTTCCTGGGGGCCCCCCAAAGATGAGTCCAGCAGGGGCATCTGGGTAGAGGTGTCCCAACAGCGGGTGTTCATGACTCCTTGCCTGGCTCCTTGGAAACTGTGACAGGGAGCCCTCCTGCGGGCCCAGCCACTTCCCTAGGAGAGGTGAGAGGCAGCCCCTCTCACCCAGGGCCAGTGGGGGGGTCAGGCCAGGTCTGAGGTTGAGTCTGTTCTGATAGTGATGGGGCTCTAGGAGAGGTGTGGGCTCTTTACCCAGAATGAACAGAGGCAGTGCAGAGGTGGTGGCTTAGAGTAGGTTGGCTGCAGACCCTCTCTCGCACTCTCCTACCATGTGGGATGGGGAAGGGCAGGGCCAGGGGCCAGGAGGAACCTATGTGGGTGTCCAGCTGCTGGCTTTCCTCTTGGTCCCTGTGTGCCTGAGGACAGAGGCCCAGGGACATCCTATAGAAGAGGGAGGGGATCTCTACCCCCTAGAAGGGAGAGCTGTTTCCTAGGCCCAGGCCAGCTCCCCAAGGGCCAGGTGCTACCTCAAATTCCAGGTTGGGGGAGGGGTGGGTGTCTCATGGAGCACATACCTGTTCATCAGCCACTCAGCAACCTCCTCAAGGGGCCCAGAGGTACTCAGACGCCAGCCCTGCCTTCTCAGACCTCCCGGTACCAGGGAAGACAGGAATCCAGAGGGTGGCAAGGGTACTGAGGAAGGAAAAGAGATTGGGGAGAACTTCACAGAGCAGGTAACAAGCCTATAAGAGATTGTGAAGTCCTGGATGACCTGGGGCAGGGAACAGGTCTTTACCTAGTGGTAAAGAGCACAGATAGGGAGCCAGACAGAGCTGTGTGAACTTAGGCAAGTTGCTTTACCTGTCTGTGCTCAGTTTCTTCTCTCCATAAAGTGAGTAACAGCTGTACCGGTCTCATCGGTTGCAGGACTTCTGTGCACTGACTGGTAGTCATCATGGTTTTGTTTACCACGGGGCATGGCCTAAAGAGGAGCCTGGGGAGTACCTGCTGGGGACATGGGGTTGGCCGGTGATCACAGACACAGAGGGACTAGGGTACGCACTGCGTACCTGGGAGATACGCTGCAGGGGTCCAGGCTGTTTTGAACACCCAGCAAGGCTGAGTTTGTCACTCTGGTGGACTGGGGTGTCCACCAGAACCCTGGGCTGCTTCCTCCCCTGGGTGACCCCAGAGAATCCCCGATCCTCCCTGGACAGCGGATTCTTCAGCAGACAGCGGCTCTGGTCCAGGGGCTGTCTGGCTTCGCCCTCCGTGGCTCTGAATGGCACTTGCGTCTGTCCAGAGCATCCATCCGCCCTTGCCATAGAAGAATGCAACGGTCCCCCAGATTCGTAGGGTACCCAGCAGGGCTGTGCCTCCCTGGGCGATCAGAATCCATCCCTTGTTGCTGTTCTGCTGCAGATGTCAGACCGCTGGCCTGCTGCCCATTTCCTGCTCTGCCTGCAGGCCAGAAGGGCCCCTTTTATTCTCATGGGTCCAGAAGTTCTGCAGAAGGCCCGGTGGAAGCCCCCTGTTGCTTCCCCACGTGGCCACAGGCCAAATGGTAATGTCCAAATGAATGGTAGCCTTCGTTTCCCCAGACGTGAGTCGCTAATATTTTCAGTGTGCCAGGCCAACCTGATGAAGTAGACAGGTGGGCAGACAGGGCCCAGAGAAGTGGGCACTCACCTAGGCCACACACCCAGCTGAGACTCAGAGTGGAGAGCTGGGGGGAGGAGGTGAGGAAGGCCCCTAGCTGGACCCCACATGGCTCTTCTTTGCAGGTGGCCGATCAGATGACACTGCTGCAGAACTGTTGGAGCGAGCTGCTGGTGTTTGACCACATTTACCGCCAGATCCAATACGGCAAGGAGAGTAGCATCCTGCTGGTCACCGGGCAGGAGGTAAGCTGCCACTTGCAGGCCTCTCCGGGCTTTCTCAGCACCCTGGCTTCCTGCCCTTCCCTGAGCTCGGGTGTGGGGTGAGCAAGGAGGTGACAGTAGCACTGTATCTCCCAAGAATAAATCAGAGTTGGTCAGTGACAGGTGATGGATGGGCAGTCCCCATCTGCACATGGGTGAGGGGATGGCAGGAGCAAGGACTCTGAGGGAATTGGGAGCGCTGCTGGGGGCTGTGGGGGTGGGAAGAGGGAGGAGATGAGGCTGGAGGGGCTGCTAGAGGCTTGTGAGCAGGCAGGTATAAATCAGCAAGGAAAAGAGGGAGGGCAGGAGGGAGGAAGGGGTAAGGGGAAGAAAGGGAAGGAAGAGGAAGGGAGGGAGAGAGGTGAGGGAGGTAGGGAAGGGAGGGGAGATGGAAGGAAGGAGGAGAGAGGAGGAAGGTAGGGTCAGGAGAGGGAAGGAGGGAGGGAGGAGGGAGGGAAGGAAAGAAGGAGAGGGAAGGAAGGAAGAGGGGAGGAGGAGGGAGGAAAGGAGGTAAGGGAGGAGGGAGGGAAGGAAGGGGGAGGGAGGAGGGAGGGAAGGAAAGAAGGAGAGGGAAGGAAGGAAGAGGGGAGGAGGAGGGAGGAAGGGAGGGAAGGGAGGAGGGAGGGAAGGAAGCGGGGAGTGGGTCCACAGAGCTCCAGTCAGAATTTGGCCCCTCTTAGAGCAGAGAATGTGGAATTATGGGTGGGAGCGGGGGGTGCTGGGAATTCCTAAAATGGAACCAGAGCCACAGGAGGGGAGGAGGGACCTGCAGGAGGCAAGTGGAAGGGCTAGGATGGGGGCCAGGAAGAAATGGGGACAGCCACCTGGCTTAGCATGCTGGGGCCTGGTGGGGCACCTACATGGAGACACCAACTGGTGAGAGGAGAGGGAGGGGGCTGATGCCTTGTCACCCTGTAGGTGGGGACATAGGCTGAGTGGTGGGTTCAGGGGTGGGGTGGAGATACGACCCTTCAGGTCTCTGTCCTTACCTTCAGCTCTCACGCTGGTATCTCAGACCATCATGGGTAAGGGGGCGGGATGCTGGTCTCCAGAGAGTGACTCTGAGACACGTGAGTACCAGTGCAGGGAACCTGTGACTATTGACAGCTAGGTCCAAGTCTCTGTGGCCTCAGGAATGTCCTGTGCACACACATATACCTGTGTTTTATCATGCACACAGAGGTGCGTGGTGCACATCCGCCTGTCACCACGTGAACGTGGACTCATTCATAGGTGTGTGTGTGTCACCATGAGTGACCATCCAAGGATGTGTGGGTGTGCACGTGTGTGTGCCTTCACTTTCTGGAGCAGGTAACAGCTCCAGGCATGTGTGTGTGCGTGAGTGTGAGCTGGGCTGAGTGTGTGTGTGAGTGTGTGGGGTGTACATGCATCGGCGTATGTGTGCAAGCCGAGCTGCCCTTCCTGGTCACCCGTGCCCCTGCTCCAGGGACAAGCAGTCACTGCAGTGGCTGTACAACAACTCTTTATACTGCTGGGCCTGGCAGCAGCTCTTTGCATATGAAGGACCCTGCACCCGACACTGTAGCCCCTGCTTAGTGGCTGCCCCACTGCCCTGGAGGGCTCCCAGACCTGCTGGCCTGCGGGCCTGGGAGGCTTCAGGGTTCCAAGCAGAGGCTGCCTGTGTCAGCTGAGAGGCAGGGCTGGTCTCACCCTTACCAGAGCCTCCTGCCCCAGCCATTCACTGTGTCTCTGACTGGCCTCCCTGCCTCACTCTGGCTGCACAGGTGGAGCTGAGCACCGTGGCTGCCCAGGCCGGCTCCCTGCTGCACAGCCTGGTGCTGCGGGCCCAGGAGCTGGTGTTACAGCTGCATGCGCTGCAGCTGGACCGCCAGGAGTTCGTCTGCCTCAAGTTCCTTATCCTCTTCAGCCTTGGTGAGTGGGCATGGGGGGTTGACAGCTGGGACAGGGTGGGGGACGCTGAGGAGCCTTCTGTGCCCAGAGAGGCCACCACGATAGGGTCAGTGTGCCAAGGACCCTCCCTTAGTGAGCAGGTGTGAGGGCACCTGGCCAGACTTGACTCTGAAAATGGGAGTTGCATCCCTGCCGGGCCTCCATTTCTGTGTGTGTGAAGTGCCAAGTGCCAAAGTGATGTCTAAGGCTTGCCCTTCACAGGACAAGGACCTCCTCTGAGAATCTGGAACATTCCTGGCAGATCGCTAGGTATATATGCCTCTCTTCCCCTGCAGAAAGTGCTGCACTCACTCATTCACTCATCCTTTCTACAAACACTGTCTGCCTGGTGAAGGCTCTGGGGATAGAAATGAGCAAAAAGATCAAATCCTTGCCTGGCAGAGCTGACCTCAGCTCAACATGGCAACTGGTGAGATAGGTAGACGGGGGAGGGGTTTAGGTAGCCAGAAAGAAGTGACAAGAAAGCAGGGAGCCTCTGGTCACTGGTGGCTCATGCCTGTAATCTTAGCTACTCAGGAGGCAGAGATCAGGAGGATTGTGGTTCAAAGCCAGCCTAGGCAAGTAGTTTGAGAAACCCTATCTCAAAAATACCCAATGCAAAAAAGGGCTGGGGGCATGGCTGGGGGCAAGGCACCTGCCTTATAAGCATGAGGCCTTGAGTTCAAACCCTGGTATCACCAAAAAAAAGAAAGAAAGCAAGGAACCAGGAGAGGATGAACTCAGCTCGCCAGCTCACCTCTCTCCCCAGATCCAGAGTCTTCCTCCTGGTGTCCTCCTGCCCCAGCCCAGCTGTGCCCTGCGCTCCTTTTGACAGCCAACTATCTCCAGTGCCCTCCCTGCCGCATTGATACCCTTTACAGGAAGGTGGCACTGGCCTCCAAGAGCTCTTGTTCTAGGTGGTTAGGGGTAGAGAGTTGGGTGTGGCTCAGGAAACCTGGGGTGAAGAGCAAGAGCTTTTTTCTTGAAAGGCTTCCTGGAAGAGGGACATTTGAGCAGGGTCTTGGAGGATGAGTAAGAGTTCTTTGGGCAGCTAAATTTTGTGGCAGAGGGGCAGCTATGGGATGGAAGGTTGGAACCCAGCACATGAGGACTTCACCTGGGAAGGGCAAGATGGAGACAATGTCTTTATGGCAGTTGGCATATAGCCAAGGCCTATAAGGGAGGGTCTCGCAGAGAGTTGGGGAGTAGGGGGTGTTGGGGAGAGGAGTGGCAGATGGGTGGTTAGTGGAACGAGGGCCTGCTTTCCGGCGAGAGGGTATCTGCCATGGCCATGTGACTGGGTGGTGGGCTGGGTCTCTGTAGAGGTGTTAGAGACAGCCATGGAAAGCCCTGGGGGGAGAGAGCAGTCTGGGGGCAGGGGGGGGCGGCCCTGGCCAGGCCAGGGAGGTCCTGCAAGGGGCAGATGGAGGGGGGCTGCCAGTACCAGTCTCCTGGGTCAGGGCTCCCTCTGTGGTTGGTCACCCCCTGAAGGGCTCCACCTTCCCTAGGGTGTGGGTGGGCCTAGGGCCAGGCCCAGCCCCATATCAAATCCCTAGACCAGGCGCCTGAGGGACAGGGGAAAGAAGAGGCTGGAGGAGCTGGAGGGGGGTGGGTAAGATGTGCGTGCATGCGTGTGCGTGCCGTGTGCACGTGTGTGTTTATGCATGCATGTGGGGTACATGGGCATGCGTGCACACGTGTGTGTTCAAGACAGAGCAGAGCGCCCTAAGGAAGGGGTTAGTGATGGAGCACCTGGGTTCTAACTCTAGTCTCTCTGGCTTTGTCCTTGTGAAAGTTGTTCCTGTCTCTGAGCCTCCATTTCCCCATCTGTAAACTGACCACCATCGCAGTGGTTAGCGTGGTACAGGATGCAGTGAGAGAATTCTCCAGAATGTTCAGTGTGTGGTCTGACCCCTCGGGCATGTGCATCAGTATTGTTTCTGTCATAGTCATCCTTAAGCTCATGAACAGATGAACAAGTAACGAGTGAAGTGAGAGAAACGAGTGGGTCACAGGCTCCGTCTTCATCCCGTGCTGTCGTCTGGCATAGGGCCTTGGGCCTTAGGCCTTAGGGACATGGGTCTGGCGAGGTGGATGAAGGAGCCTCAGCCAAGCAGGCCAGAAATCTAGAGAGGTTGGAGCCGTCAGAGGAGGTCACTTGATATCCAGAGAGGTGACGCTGCCATCAATCAGGGTGAGGGCACTGGAAAAGAAATCAGTTGGGGGAGGTGATGAGTCCAGTCTACGCTTGTGGCTGGTCACATCCAGGAAGTGCCCTCAAGGCAGTGCCAAAGTGAGAAAGATGGCCCCGACCTGGCTACTGGGGAGTTGGCAGAGAGCAGGAGCCACCTCCTGGCAGGAGGTCAAAGGAGCCACCTGTTTTTGTTTTGTTTTGGTGGGACTGTGGTTTGAACTCATGGCTTCATGCTTGCAAAGCTGGCCCTCTATTGCTTGAGCCACACATCCAATCCATTTTGCTCTGGTTATTTTGGAGATGGGGGTCTCATGAACTGTTTGCTGGTTTGAACCTTGATCTTCCCAATCTCAGCCTCCCAAGTAAGTAGGACAGGTGTGAGCTACCTGCTGGAACCCACAACATGGGAGAGCAGCGGGAGAGGTGACCACCGAGGCTCCAGGTTGGGAGAGGACCCAAGCAGTCCAGTAGGGTTAGGATTGGGCTTGTTCCACCTGGGGTGGATGTCAAGGAAGGCTTTTGAGATGTGGTGCAGCTGAGCTGGGCCTTGCAGCAGGAGTAGGAATGCTCTGAAGGAACAGCTTGGGCAAAGTTATGAGGAAACCTGAAAGTTGGGTGTGGCTGTAGAGGGCAGTGGAAGGTTGGAGAGGAGGCTGTGGAGGTGGGCAAGGGCTGGCGGAGCTATGAATGCCAGGCTGGGTACCTTGAACCTTCCCTTGGGAAGGATTTTTTTTTTTTTCTGGTGGCAGCAGGATTTGAACTCAGGGCCTCTTGCTTGCTAGGTAGGCACTCTTACCACTTGAGCCATCCAACAACCCTTGTGATGTTTTTTTTTTTGAGATAGGGACCTGAGAACTATTTGTCTAGACTGGCTTTGAGCCCTCCATTCTCCTGATCTCTGCCTTCTGAGTAGCTAGGATGACAGGCCTGAACCATTGGTGCCCTGCTTTTTTTTTTTTTGAAAGGCTGGGGTTTGAACCCTTGTCTTCAGTCTTGCAAAGTAGGTGCTCTACCCCTTGAGCCACACCTCTGGCCCCAAGGAAGGATTTGAAGCTGGAGTAACATGACATGACGACACTTGCCTGTTACCAAGGCCCCTCCAACTGCAACAGGAAGCAGTAATGGCAGGTGGGCAGCCCAGAGCCCTGCAGGAGGCCAGACCTGGGGCTGGGGTGACCGGGACCACCTGAGTGTAGAACAAAGGGCTCCTCCCATAGTCCCACCCAGTCTACCAACACTGTGTTACCCGGGAAACTGGGATCCAGAGAGGGAAGGCCGTTTGCCTGCAGACCTCAGTTGGCACAGCAGGCATCGGCCTCAGGCAGCACCTCTCTGGGCTGGGCAGCCTGAACTTGGGTGAGGACTGTCCCCTACCCACCCCACCCACGCCCCTCTGCGCGCCTCCTCTCGCCTGCCTCTGCAGAAGGGTGCCATTTGGCGTCTAGATAGCGTCTCAGCGGCTCGGAGGCAGGTAAGGAAGTTTAATTAAAATTAGTGCCTCTCTCCTGGCAATCGCGGTGTTTATGAAGATGGGCCCAGCAGGCATTGTTCCCCCGAGGACTTAATCGAAGCTTAATGGATTGACCTAACATTCGATTTCCTGATTCCCATTGAGGCGCGGCGGCTGCATTCCCTTAAGCGTTTGCAATTTACCCACTGCTCTGCGCCAACAAAAGGCGGCCTGAATAGCAGCGCCACTCGAGGGGCCATTGTGCACGGGGGCGCCTGCCTGAGTCACCGCTATTGGGACAACATTCTTTATGCCTCGCTGGAATGAAAGGATTATTCAAATATTCAATTAAACCGTGAAAAGGGGGCTTTTCTGAGATCCCGGGGGCCCCAAGCTCGCAGAGCTAGCGGCTGCTCTCCGGGTGGGGTGCCATCTCCCACCCCCTCCCACCTCCAGGGCTGTGGGAGCCCCGTAGGCTTGGCTTGGGACACGGGGCATCACCAAAGTGTCCCCATCTCAGTGCCCTGCTGCGCTCAGGGCTCAGAGCGGAGTATACTGCAGAGGTCCTGGTCCTGGCTGCCATTGGGACAAAGATCATTTTGCAGATGACAGGAAACTTGAGGCTTGCAAAGGGGAAGTGACTTGCCCAAGTTCAATCAGCTGCCCATAGAGCTGGGATGTGAGTCCCTGTCACATTAAGGGTGCGTTTGCTCCCGTGTCTGAGGGAGGAAGGGCACTGTGTTCTGTGAGATGTGGCTCTGTTGCCACCCCTTAGAATCTTTACAAGCTCTTTAGTGACTGGGGACATGGGCCAGCTGGAGAAAGGAATGACCTATCCGAGGTCTCCAGGTGACATGAGTCAGGTCTTAAGCTCAGAGTAGCCTCTTTGGGGGAAACCAAGGACCCAGGGGTGAAACCCTTGTTTAGATTCCTGGATGGATGGGACATGAAGTATGTCCAGTCCCCTAGAATTCGTGTCAGTGTGTGACCCATACTGAACTGGGCACCCTGCCCAGCTCGTCCATAGCAGGAGGCCTGCCCTGGAATCACAAGACCTGGGTTTGCATCCAGACTCTGGTTTCTTTGGGTGTCTCAGGAATACCCTGACTGAGCTCAGGCTGCCCTGGATGAGCTGAGCAGGCATGAGGTGTGTGACGGGTGACCAGGAAACTGGATTCCGACTCAACTGTAGCCACTAGAGACTGCCTCCCTCCACCATCCTGTAGCTGATCTCATGGGGCTGCTAGAGCTGGGAGCCCAGAGGACCTCAGGAGAGGGGCTGTCCCTGAGAGCTGTCCTTGCTCTGTGCCCCGCCCGGAACTCTGGCTCAGTGTTACTAAGGACAGTAAATCCTGGTAAAGCCGAGGACCTGGTCCTCCTGGTCCCTCCCACCCTGTCCCCACTGCAGCACAGGAGCCAGGTGGTCCCCATCCCTCTCTTTCCTCTGGGCCTCTTTATTGCTGGGTGGCCTCCCAGCCTCCTATTGTGAACTGTCAGGAGCCTTCCCTAGCCCTGGGGATGGTGGGGGGATGGTGGGAGGTGAGGACAGATGGGACAGAATTGAGATGGGGAGAGGTTGGGACAAGGATGGATGGGGCCAGTAGGTACCTCTTGCTTCCAGGAAGCCAGCTAGGTGAGGTGACTTGTCATGCATGACCTTTGAATACGTCTGGAGTAGGCCAGGCTAGGGGAGCAAGGCTGATACATACAGTCAGGTAAGTCGCTCACTACACAAGGATACTAAGGCAGGGAAGGGGGGGTGGCTGAAATCTAGCTTTATCTCTCTGGACAAAGGGAACTTCTTTCTAACTGGCACAAAGGTGCCCTATGGTTTGATGGTGATTCTAGGGAGGGAGGAAGAAAATTACTCTGGTTTACTAACTGGGGAGTGAGGGGGCCAGGGATGGAGGACAGCAGCCTGCAGATACTGCCATACGACCAGGGCCCAGCTCCAGTTTCCCTAAATCCAGCTTTGGACAACATGGACCTTGGCGGGCACACTGGGGGCGGCCAGGGATCAGGGTTGCCAGGAGCACCAAGCTTTCCTAGCACAGTGGGTGTTAGAGGGATTAGAGGGCCAAGAGCTGCACATGCGGCCTAACTCCCCCACGCAGCAGGGCTAGAGTGATGGGTGGGTGGGTGGGGAAGCAGTGGACAGCCACAGCCCAGGGGAGGCCCAGCTAGGCTTTGGGGATTTGTGGGCTGATTCCATGGATTCCTGCTGACCTTGAACCCTTAGGCAAGGCTCTGGCTGGAGATGCTGCCCAGGAGCTAGGAAAGGCTGCAAGCTGTGACAAAGGGGTGACAAGAAGCAAACCCAGGCTTCCCCCACCTCTGCAAGGTGGGCTCAGCCCCCTTCACAGAGGAGGAATGGGGCACAGGGACTTGTCTATGGGCCGCTGCTGCAAAATGGTGGCTAGGATTTGGCTCCCATCTGTCTCACTCGGAAGATACATTTTGCACTTTGGACGAGGGTGCAGGCCTGCAGTGATCACACCCTTCATCCACAGCCCGAGTGACATTGGTCCACGCAGAGAGCCTCCCCACTCCTCACTCTTGCTTCAGCAGCCATTCCTTCATCTCTAACACAGGCCTTCTCAGGCCTACACAGTACTTCTGTCTCACAGACCAGCTTTTTATTCTTACGTTATTTTCTGTGATGCTGGGACTGGAACCCAGAGTCTCGTGTGTGCTAGGCAAGTGGTGTACCACCAAGCCACACTCCCAGCCCCATCTTTACTTATGTAAATGGCTTCACTCTACAGACCTCCTGGATCTTCCCACCCAGCTCTGGCTTTAAAGCTTGGTCCATGCACTCACTCTGTGTTCCGTCCTGCATTGCTTTTGTCACAGCACACCACTCACTCTGTGTACAGCCAGCATGTGACCACTTAGGCCACTTCCTCCTCACCACAAGACCCTCTTTATTGGTCACTGGGTAAACCAAGTGCCCCTGGCTTTCTGGAAGGACCACTGGGCCTTGGAGCTGTGAGATGGAATCCTTCTGCTCGCAGCATACCCCTTTGGTCATGGTGATGGTGGGGGGCAGTGGTAACTGGCAGAGGGCTGATGTTGATGGCAATGGCCGTGAGGATGACAGCAGCGGGACAGCTTTGACCTTGACCATGGGGATGGGACTGATTGTAGCCATGGCATTGACCATGGCGATGGTGTGAGGGAGCAGGGAAGGTCACACCCTCCCAGCGAGCTCCCATATGCCGTGAATTTTCTCCTCAGACCTCCCTAGGCGTCAGTTCTGTAAATCTGCACGACCTCTTCGTCACCTCTGCTGTCACCCCTGTTCTACAGATGAGAAAGTGGAGTGCTTTAAATAGCACCCTCACGGATGCACTTGGTAGGGTTGGTGATGGCCTTAGTGAACGGTGATTATTGGGTGTTGGTGACGCACTGGCTGTGTCAGGCCAGCCCCGGCAGGGACAGTGATGAGAGGCTGACCAGCTCCTCTCCTTGCAGATGTGAAATTCCTGAACAACCACAGCCTGGTGAAGGATGCTCAGGAGAAAGCCAACACTGCCCTGCTTGATTACACCCTGTGCCACTACCCACACTGCGGGGACAAGTTCCAGCAGCTGCTGCTGTGCCTGGTGGAGGTGCGGGCTCTGAGCGTGCAGGCCAGGGAGTACCTGTATCACAAGCACCTGGGCAACGAAATGCCGCGCAACAACTTGCTCATTGAGATGCTGCAGGCCAGGCAGACTTGAGCCTGGTGGCGGGCTCATTTCAGTAGGCGACCCCGGAGCCCTGTCCCTAGGCCCCCGCCCCTGAGCTCTGGAGCTGTGTGTTTGGGATGGTGGTGAGGATGGACAGCGCCTGGCTGGGGTGGTGGCCTTCTCCAGCCCCTGGCACTTGCTGCCACTCAGAGTGCCCCTAGGTGGTGGCTGCTGACCACCTCTCCCCCGCTCCTCCCAGCTTCTGCCCTGGAGCCTGAGCTGCAGGTCTAGGAAGTCCGGGTTCCCTGGTAGGCCTGGATCTCCCTTAGGTCAGACGTCATCTCTTCTCCCTCTCTCGGAATCAGAGGCGGGGAAAGGTGAGCACCACGGGAGAGAAGAGGGAGAAGAGGGCGTCTCCAGAGTCCCCCAGAGAGTGGTGTGAGTCCTCTGTCTTGCAAACTAGGGATGACTGAGTTTGCTAAATTGGGCAGGGGCTGTTGGCCCTGGAGGAACTGGGAGACTGGTTAGACAGAAAGACCTCTCCCTAGCCCTCCAACCATCTGACCTTTGTGGGGTGGGGTGGGGGGAATCCGCTGATCCATTTCCCAGAAAGGACTTTGCTGCAGTCATCCGTCCTGCCTCTCCCCAACCACCACAGGGAGGACGAGTTTGGTACAGTCTGCATTCCAGCCATACCCACTCCTGGCTAAGGACTGGCCCTAATCTGCAAGGTTGTAGTCAAGACAGTTTTTCTGGTTTTGTTTTTCCTTTTTCTTTGTTTTCAATCTAGACGCTCCGTGAAAGGCATGTGTGAGGAGGGCAGAGGGCAGACGGAGGTCTAAGCTGGGATATGGGGGATTTGCACCGAGTACAGCCCAGGCTTCCTTCCCTGCCCTCCCATTCCAAGTGCTCCAGGTGGTGCCTGGTTGTTTTTGTTGAGTGCCCCTCCCCAAAGAAGAAATGTCACTTGCTTTCTGCCTTCCTAGGTGACCAGCAGGAGCCTGTAGGGCTCAGAGTCCCACGGGTGGGGTATGAGTGAACCCAGGAGGGCTCCTGGGTTGCTGGATGAGGACAGTGCTGATGAGACCCTCCTGTCACGACCCTATCCCATTGGGTCTCTTGCTGCCACCCTTGAATCTGGCCTCTGCTCCCTGGCCACTGCCCTGTGCCCTGAAAGTCACTCTCTAGGGCCAGGCACTGGGGAGACGTCTTGGCTGTCCTCTGTCCTGCTGGGACCTCCACCAACGGCCCTGCTTCTATGTCTTTGCTGTTGCAGCTTGTGCTAGGCCTGCCCAGCTGAAGAGGCTGGGCCTCCCTGCCCCTTGCCTTCAGCCACCCTGACTCAGTCCCTGACTCTGTCCCCAAAATGCATACCCCTGCCAAGGTCAGAGACCCACAGCCCCAAAACAAGAAGTGCCCTTATGAATCTCCCCCTGCAGCCCTGGAATAAATTTTGCAATTAGTTTCCAGCTAATTTGCTGATTTGAATTCTGGGGTCTGAGTAGAACCTCCAGGCTGGGTTTTGGGGAGTCTTGCAGGGGGTTAGTGATACCCTTCACTCAAAATTCTGGGAAGACAGGAGGGTTGGAGGATAACATGTGAGGGGACACCAGGCACTGCTGGGGTTGAGCCCCACCTCATCCCTGGGACCCCAAATTACCTGGAGGCTGGGAGATGCTCTTTTTGGGATCTTGGCTCAGTTCCCTGCTGGCCATACTAGCTTTGTCCCCAATTTAGGAACAGTCATTTAGTGAGCACCTACTGTGTACCCTTCCTGTCCCTACAGTCCCCCTGGGAGGCAAGGGTGTATAATCCAGAAGGGAAGGCTCTTGCCAAGTGTCCTTTCCCCAGTGATCAGAGGACCAGATCACAGGCCCTTCCTTTCTGCCCTCGCAGCTCCTTTGCTTCCCTCTGTCCCCGCTTGGTGGCAGCAGTGAGCACAGCGGACATGGGTGATGCTTGAGGTGTTCCAGGCACTACCTGACTTGGTGTCCTACCTGCTCCTCCAAACCACTTCTATAAGTGGCAGCCCAAGATTACAGATGAGGAAACTGAGGCATAGAGGAACAGAGTGGCTTGTCCAAGGTCATTCAGCTGAAAAGGGGCACAGCCATCTGCAAAATTCCATTAGCCTGACCACCTTGACCAACTCCATGCCACTCCTGGTCTGCCCAGTGCCTTTGCACAAGTTACAAAAAGGCTTCCCCACTAGATCGATCGATGCAGTAGTGGTTTTTGTACAAAGCAAAATGTGTCCCTCTCCTCTTGGCACCTGCAGAAATGAAGCAGGCACCTTAGTTCCTAACCCTGTACAATGTCTAGTCTTGATGGAGGAGACTGTCTTAATCAGATTACAGCCACTGGGACATTTCATGCCAGTGAGCCAGAGAAGATGAGGAAGTGAGACACAGTGGGGGCCCATGCCTGTAATCCCAACTACTCGGGAGGCAGAGCCAAGAGGATGTCTTACTCAAAGCCAGTTCAGGCAAAGTTAGCAAAATCCCTCTCAGAAACAGGGCGGGGGAGTGTGCAGGAGACCCTGGGTTCAATCCCCAGTACCAAAAAGTAAAATAAATAAATAAAGATAGTGATTGATTCTGCTCCTAGGGCAATAGAGGAAGGGACAGGAAGGTTTCATAGCTGAGGGTTTTGAAGGATGTGTAGGAGGTCCCTGAGTAGGTAGAAGCTGGGGGCAGTCCTGGCAGAAGGGACAGGGTGAGAGTCTTGGTCCCTCTCCCAGCCCCACAGCCCTTATGATTGGTTGGGTGAAGACAGAGCCTTCTGAAAAAGAGGAGAAGGGATCAGAGGACAGTGGAAATGCAGGCAGTCATGGGCCACCAGTGTCCTGCCTAGGTCTGTTTCACCTTGTAGTTCCTCTTGCCCCCCATGCCATCAGCAGGCAGTGGGCTCTGCCCGGGCCAGGCTGAGCATTCATTCTCCCATTGACACTCAGCAGGACCGGCCCTGCCCAGCCTTCCCTCCTCCACAGGCTCCAGCCCTTTTCTCAGACAGGACAGGGACCCTGCTGCCCCTCCTGTGGGCTCCCTGTCTTCCTGGGATCTCGGCTCCCCAGCATGGCACTTTCAAGGCCTTGAACATGGCCTCTCTGGGCCCACAGCCCTCCCTGTCTCTGGAAGAGCTGACATTCCCTGAATACAGGGCTGTGTGTCACATGGTCTAGTGAGTGGGTCTGATGTCTCCTGTTCTGCTGGTGACCCATGGGGCTTTAAGAGCTTAGACAGCCCCTTCCCCAGAAGGAAATGCCCAGATCCCTGGCTTTCGTTCATAGGTTTTGTCCCAGATGCAACCCAAGCTGGCTGCAGAGTGGAAGCCACCAAGGTCTCTGGGGGCTATCTGTGCCTGGCTGGGTCTCTGTGCTTCTTACTCATGTGCTCCCCCCCCCTCCCCCGTCCCCACCCTGCTTTGCCGCTTGGGAAGGTGCTGTTTCTCTGGGCTGCATTCCCACAGGTAAGATGGTGACAGTCTCTGGCCCCAAAGGCACAGTCTGGGCCCCTCCAATACCTGGCCCCAGGTTTGAGCCTCAACTGGTGCTGAATGGAAAATGTTACTGCTCTTCTCCCCCTTTCCCCCAGTCCCCTAAACCCTAGAACAGGCAACTGGAAGAAGGGTCTGCACAGTGGGTGGTGGCAGGGCCTGGCCAAGCCTCCTCAGGTCACCTCCTCCAAGCAGTACATCTGGGTGGCTTCACTCACAAGCACTGCCCCTGAGCCATGCCCCCAGCAAGGCCCCAGGCCTGAGTCTGAAGGTTTCCTTTGCATAGGTGGCCTCAGGGTGGGGGTGAGGATCTCCCAGGGACAATGCAGGTGCTAATAATTGCTGGTGGCACCTGCCTACTCTGGTGACAAGGCTGAGTTCCCAAGCCAAAGCAGCAGTTTCTCTTGCTTCCTCCCTCCAGAGAGCCTGGCACTTCTGCCCCTCCTCCCCAGACCAGGAGAACCCCAGACAGCACAGGCAGAGCCTCAACAGTGCCTTTATTTCCACACACAGCAGAGCAGGTGGGGCGGGAACAAAGAAAGATGAGGGGCTATGGGTCCAGGGTAGGGACCCTCACTCCAGTGTGACGCAGTGGGGGTGGGCTGGTCCACGGCTGCTAGTCTCTCACTTTGGGGTTGCCAGCTGCACCCCTCATCCAGACTGGGGTTCCTGGGATGAGGTCCCCCGGCCCGTTGAGTGCTTGGGGTTTGGAGGAAAGACCCCCGCACGCAGTCTAGATACCTGGGAGGAAAACGGCCCATTGGGCTGAGCTGGTGAAAATAGCCAAGATGGGGCGGGGTCAGGGAACGGAGGCTGGGGGCCTGGGGGGGAAGGGGGATCCTGGCTCAGGCCACCCTGAACAGTCCCTCGTGGTCTCAGGGCCTCAGTTTCTCCATCCTCAGAGCCTCAGTTTCTCCATCCTCAGATCACATGCATGCCCGCAGAGCCCCCTGGACTTCTAGGAGGGACACACAGCGGGCAGCCTCTACTCTCACGCATCTCTCGCTCAGGTCGCCTGAGTGGCCTGGGTAGGTGGGGGACTAGAGCGGGAACCGTCGGGAGGGCCAGGCCAGGGTTGGGGGTCCGGAGGGTGGGCCCGAGGTGGAAGCGGGCTCGGTTGCTACGAGCGGCCCTAGCAACGCACCCATTCAGCAGAGACAAAGGCGCTGTCACTTGAGCACCGAGGCGCCGCTGCGGCTCTTGTTCCCGCAGACGGCTGCGCCCGCGGGTGGGGGCGGGGCGGAGGGGGCTGGGCCTGCGGGGGTGGGGGGCGGCTGCGCCCCGGATCGCCCCTGCGCGCTCCCGACCGGCCTGCAGGGGGCGCCTCTGACCCCATTTTGCAGACGGGAAGCTGAGCCTTCAAGGGCCTAAGCACTAGCACCCTAGGGCGGAGGCTGGGGCGAGGGGTCGCACGTGCCTGTGCTTACACCCGCGTGCCTAGAGCTGTGCCTCAGTTTCCCCATCTTTATTTTGTTTTGGAGGGGGAGGAGGGACTCCAGCCCTACACTGTGACTGATTGCTGCCTCCTTCTGCGACACTAGGCTTGCTCACCTGCACAATGGGAGGAAAGCAGCCCTGCGCTTCCCAGGCCACTGGACTAGGAACTGCCATGTCTGGGATTGGGTCCAGATCGTGGACCCAGTAAGAGTGCCATCGGCAGACCTCTCACCCAGCGCTGGAAATAGTGTTTGAGGCTGAGAGGAGCTGGTCTAAGATGGTGGGAAATTTAGGCTCAAAGAGGCCATCAGTGAGCTGTGTATGCACGGCTCCAGGTTCCTCTGGGGGTCCCCAGGTCTCAGTTCCTCTCCCTGAGCATGCCCAGTTGCTCACAGGTCCCCTCTTACGCCCTGTTGGCAGTTGGACAGCCCCAGGGCATCCTGTGCCCCTGGTGATTTGGAAGGGCTCTCAGTGCACAAGGTGTTAAGGACAGAGCCCCAGGGCCAGAGGCTGGGCACTGACCGGGGTGCACAGAGGATGGCAGGCTGCTTGGTGGCTGCACCAGCTCAGAAAGGGTTCAACCCACTTCTTCCTTAATTAGCTCTGCCCCCAGGAACCCTGCTCTGTCACCTCCACAGGCCCTTGTCCTAATTGAAGACTTCCAAGAACCAGTAAGGGGCAGAGTGAGGGGAAGGCCTCCTAAATTGTGGAGTCTGGATGTGGTTGCTTCTCAAATCACTCCCATCCTGATAGAGTGAGGTTGAGGGTGTCCAGGCCCAAGGGGGAAAGGGGGAGTCCCCAAGGGGTGAAGAATACCTGAAGTCTTGAATGCTGTCAGCTCCACAGCCTGAAGAGGAGGGAACAGCGTGGGCCCCTCTCCTTTGCCTCCTCCATTCCCCAGGACCCTTGGCCACCTTGGTGACCACTCCTCCTTCTGTGCCCTATGGCCTTGGCTTCGGGGGTGGCCTGCATACAGGCAGCAGCAACCAGCTGCTCCAGAATCCTCAGCCCAACACCTGAGGACCAGCCTCCATGGCAGGCCCCCCTCCCCCCAGCCTCTCCAACCCTTCTGCCACATTTATTGACCTCTTGGAAGCACCCTGTGGGGCCTCACCTGTCTCCCAGAGTCTGCAATGGAGGAGAAGGCCATGGGGATACTGAGTCCATGGGTTCCTAGTAGGGGAAACATCTGAAGTGACTAAGAGTAGGGGAGACTAAGGTAGAAAGCCCTCTCTCTGCTCCCCCAACCTAGGGTAGGGCACAAATTATCAAAACCCTAAGAGTCCACTCAAAGCTCTACCCTCAGATTAGCGATGAGGAAACTGGGGCCTAAGGGCAAACAGGAGAGCAGGGACTGGAGCCCTGGCCTGTCCTGGAAGTCTTTAACTGAGGTCCTCCCTGCCTCAGGGCCTCAAAGTCACCCACTCACCTTTCTGCTAGACCCCACCTCCCTGGCTAGAGACCCAGGGAATGTTGTCCTGAACCAGTCCCACCTCTGCCTAGGCACCAGAATTCCCTGTTGCATGATGATGGGAGTAGAGGTGACAAGCTATTTCTAAGCCATTCCCGAAGCCCCAAGATTGCAGCTTTGTGGGCCTCAGTTTCCTTGTCTTTCAAATGGGCTATGGATCTGCCACAGTCCTTCCAGCTTAGCCTGAGCACTGGGGAAACTGAGGCACAGGGCAGCCTTGACACTGGAAGGTAGTGAAGCCAGACCTCTGGGAGCCACATGTCTTTGAGGTGGAGCTGAGGCTGCAGGGCTGTCTGGGACCACTGCCCAGGGACCTGGGGGCCGCAGGCTGGTGGGGCAGAGCAGGTCTGAAAGGAGAGGGCGTCAGCTCAGACCTGCGGTGCCTGGACCTCCCCCCATCACCAAGCCATACCTGCCCCACTGGGAGCCCCTCAGCCACCTTCTTCTCCATCATCCTCTGGAGGGCGTTCTGCACCTGTGAGACAGTGTGGGTCAGGCCTGGAACCCTCCCCAGCCTGGGTCACCAAGCCCTCAAGGCTGCAGGGGAACTGGGGCTAGAGGGACCCCAGCCTCTCCTCCCCAAATCCCTCCTGGCTTCCCACAGCCCATGGACCCTACTCACCTCTCCATTGTAGGCTGTATAGACCAGGAAGATGTAAGGGCCCTGAAGAAAGACCCTGTGTCACTAACAGGAAACTTCCACCCTACTCAAAGCCTGGCCTCCCGCTTTGCTTGATGTCAGGCAGAGACGCCCAGAGACAGGTGAACATGAGCCCGCCCTGCTGCCCTGTCCTCCAGCCTGGGCAGGGGCTGTAGACCTGAGAGGCCTTGTCCCACTCTACCCCAGTGGTGGCCTCTCTGATGTCTTTCTGTGCCCTGCGCAGACCTGCCTGGGCTCACAGCCTGGCCCCCTACGGGGAATGCCTTCCTGAGCTCCGAGGCCATTACTGGGTCTGTGCCTCTGCTGAGGACCTTCACCTCTTGGAGCCTCTGGGGACTGGGCCAGACCTCACCTCCTTTCAGGATGGAGATGCTAGGTGTGAAGGGCTTTGCAAGGTGACTGGGGCAACTGTGTTGGACCAAGAGGGGCTCTCCACTCACAAACACCACCACATTTGGGGTCTCCCTGGGCCCTCAGCAGCTCCAGGGCAAGGGTGGCAGATGGGCATTCATCCCCCACTTGAGGAGGGAGACCCTGTGGCCTGGGGTGGGAGCCATAGGAATGAGTCCCAAGCTACAGTGGCCCAGCAGGTGGGATTTGGAGCCTAGGGCTTCCTCAGGTCCCACGTGACAGAGGCTTCTGCCAGATGCCAGCACCTGAGGACACCTGTGGGGCACATGGGACCTCCAGGCCTTCTAGCCCCCAGCTGAAAGCTGAGCCCTAGAGTCCAAGACATACCACCTGAGGCGATATCCCCACTGCTAGCCTTCAAAATAGATCCTGGTGCCTCAGTGTTCCCCAAAGCCAGCCTGTCCTCACTGAGGCCTCTGCACTGCCTTCCCCACCTGTTTCCTCTTGCCCATTCCTCACCACTCCAAAAGGATCTTTGCCAACTCACACCCAACTATACCAGTATCTGCCTACCTTCCTCCATGGTTCCTGTCCCCATAATAAAGTCTGAGCTCCTTATAACAGCTCTGGGGGTCCTGTACAGTCTGGCTCCCACCACTCCCTCCTGCCCCATTTCTTACCAGCCTTCCTCCTTTGTTGTCCCCATCTGATGCCACCACAAGCCCCATCCAGTCTTCAGGTCTTAGCTGACAATCTGCCTCCCCCTGAGTGGCTGTTCTGTCCCCACACTGCCCTGACAGTCCTCTGGTCTTTCGGCCTCAGTTGTGCCATGCTGTGGCTAGGTGATTTTGGTGTCTTGTTTCTCCCTCAGGCTGAGACCCACACAGGTGGCTTCTTTGGCCTTGTGCACCCCATGTTTTCTGTGTGTGACAGGCATTGGCCCAGGGAGGAGCTGGGAAACATGTGCTGAACAACTGAATGAAACAATGAGCTCCTGTTCCCTGGCAAGTACCAGGTGTGATGGTTAGCCCTATGCCATTATTGTCTTAGCTGAACCCCACAATGATCCTCGAGGTGCATAGGAATCTGACTTCCTTTAGATAGAGGTAGAAACGCTACCTGATTTGACTTGTTCAGGCCTCCAAGACTCTCTCTACCAGAGTAGAGAGAGGGTAGGTGTGAGCTACAGCTAGTTGTGGAAGTGAGGCTTTGCTCTCTCTCCACAAAACCTGGCATAGAAAATTAGATAATCATTCCTGAAGGGTGAATGAGGCTGGTCCATTCTGGTCACCTGGTCACTGTTCTAGTGTGAATCCTGCCTAGTTTATGCCCAAGACAGACAGAGAGGGACAGGGCTGGAGGTACAGTGGTGGGAAAAGGACATGGAGAGGAAGGAGGTGTGATGGAAAAGTGGGGAGGAAAAGGCCAGGCCTGGCCCACAGGACACAGCCTACAGCCTGAGCCAGGCTTTCCCGACAGTGTCATACCACACCCATAGAGACAGAGAGGCAGAGAAGCAACAGGGGCGTCAGAGACAGAGGAGAGGAGAGAGCAGAAGACATAAAGAAGAACTGGGTGGATCAGTGCCAGGGACATCTGTGACCAGAGAGGAGAAGGGGGCAGGAAGAGAAAGTCAGGGAGAGAGAGCCTGAGAGACAGAGAAAGAATCTCAGACAAACACACATGGAGAAAGAAAGGGGAGGGAGGGAGACAGAGATGGCAGTGAGGGTGGCATTGTCCCCGCGGCTTGGTTCCTGACCACCTGAGGGCCACAGGTAGTAGGGATGAAGAGCATGAGGGTCCCCTTGTCATGAAGTGGGCAACCAACAACCACCTGGAGTGATCACCATGGCAATGAGACACTGCCACCCTCAGTGCCCTGTGAAACTTGGCCAGGGTCACCAGGCCACAAGAGACAGAGCTGGAATGGACCCCAAGAAGCGCTGGGGGCTTGGAAGGCTTGTCTGTGTTGTACCCTATACTCCTCCCCCATGTTCCAGTGCTCAGGCCCAGATGTGCCTCTGGGAGCCACTCTTGCTGTCTGTTCTCAGAGCCCCCTGGACATGACCCCTGCCCTCCCAGCAGATCCCTTTCTTCTGTCTCCACGCCTGTCTAGCGTAAGGTGACCAAGTCCCAAGGGCTCAGGGTAAAAGATAACATAGGCCAGGACCACAGCAACCAACCGTCAGAACCCTTCCCTTCCATCCTCACACCCTCACAACGCGTCACTTCCCTTCCATCCTCACGCTCTCACGTGTCACTTCCTCTTCTGGGTTATGATCAGGTGGGTCCCCACCTCCAAATGTCACCCCTGAAAATAGGGCTTTTCTGCCATGTTTACTGCTGCACCTTAGTGCCTCACACAGCACCTGGCACACCGTGGGGGAGGGGCAATTAGTGACTGTCCATGGACTCAGGAATGGTGGTCAGGCACCCCTCCCCAGGCCCATGCCAGGACCCATCTGCAGTCAAGGCGAATTACCTGAGGGTCAAGAACTCTGGATTTGGGCCCCAGCACTGCTCCTTCCTGCTTTGATACCTTGGGCAGTGACTGCCTGAGGCCTCAGTTTCCCCACTGTCAGTTGGTCGGGATAGAAGTGTGAGCCATACCCAAATATAGGCGGCTGTTAGCGCCTCAGCCCTATCTTAGGGAAGCTGGAGTTCTGAGGCAGCAGGACCCAGAGTTTGTATCTGATTTGGAAGCTTGTCCTTGTCCAATCTGGGCTCTGGTCAATCCCAATTTTTGGACCTATGGTGGGAACAGCTGGAAGTGGAGGGTGCAGATGTTGGAGAGAGGCACCCCTGAAGGCCAAGGGGTAAGACAGCAGGGGCCCTCCCTTCCCTCACTCAGCTTCTGGGCTGGCACTGTGGGGCCATATCTGGGTACCTCACAAGTTTGTGGTCCCAGGACTCGGGGTGCTCATGAAGCCCTTCCCTGGTGCCCCACCATTGTGACTTCCTTGTGTGGGGTTAAATGCTTCCTGGCCACACCTTTCTCTAGCCTACTGTCCTCACTATGGGGCAGCCCAAGCCAGCTTAGTGGGCCACAGTCCCCTCAGTGTCCTGCATACCCTCTCTGGCCTCCTGGAGAAGCCTGAAGTGACTCTGGCTGGAATTTTGGCTATGTCCTTGAATGTGAGGACACAACGAGCCACTAGGCCTGGTTCAATTTGTCCAGGCCTCACAAGACTCCCTCCACCGTGGAAGGTGAGGCCTAAGATGGGCCCCCAAATCATCCCTCATGTTCTGCTGATCCAAGGTTACCCCTCATGCCACTGCCCCCGCCCCCAGTCCATCCTCTTGACACAATGTCCCTACTTGCTGTTGAATGCCTCCCGTGATGGGGAGCTCACCCTCTCTGCATCTGACATAGTGAACACCCCCGAGTTCATGTATACCAGAGCCCCAGTCCGGATGTCAGGCTGCGAGGTACCTGGAAGGAATTGAGCCCCACTGCGGCATAGGCCCAGGCTGGGCTAAGGTGTACCAGGAGGCCAACCAGCCAGCTCAGGCCCAGGACTGGCAGCAGGACGAGCACTGGCTTCACTGTAGCCCTGTGGGAGGGCAGGCAGGGCTGAGGGGCCAAGGAGGACAGTGCAGGGATATTCCTGGAAAGGGGCCCAAGCGGAAGACCAGACCACAGGTCTGCAGGACTTGCTGCCTTCTCTGACACCCAACGGTGTGGCATGCAAGACAGATGGTGGCATTGGGAAGACAGGGTTCCAGTCCCAGATCTGGGTTGAGAAAGGGGTGGCCCCTGCCAAGAAGGAGGACAGGGCATAGAGTCAGCGGGCTTCCCTTCCCCTCTCTGGGGATCCTGGGTTCTGTCCTTTTCAGGGATTCGCTGGCTTGGACAGCCCAGGTCCCACCATGGGGGAGGAAGAGGATGGAGAGGAAGGCGGGAGAGAAGGCAGGGCTGCAGGAAGGCCACAGAGCTCCCTCTCCAGCACGCATGACCCTGGAGGCTGATGGGGGCTCTTGGCAGGGGCAATGACTGGCGACTCAGACCCTCACACTGAACCTGAACTTCTGAGGACCAATGACTTTGGTCCCTCTGCATTGTCCTTAGCAGGCTCTCTGTGCCTTCTGCAGACAGCGAGGTCACAGGACAATGGCTGGTGTCCACACTGACTCACACAGGGAGGATGGTCACCCTCACACGACATACACAAGCATATGTGACACCATAAGCAAGGACACAGGGGGAGCTCATCACATATGGTCACATGGCCACACCCCAGCACAGACTCATACATGCTCACACAGGGCCAACTGGCCTTGTGCTCCCCACCTTGCCCTGCCCCACAGTGGGCCTCACCACATCTGGACCTGGATCTGTTGCTGCAGGCCCAGCTGTGGGCTCAGCATGCGCACATGGCGGCGGGCACTGGACACGGTGACCATTACCACGCGGACCAGGATGCAGGAGTTGGCCTGGAGACCTGGCGTCAGTGGGAGAGAGAAGGCCCCCTTCCCCGACATGTCCCTCCCCTGTGGGCCCCATAACTCCCAGCTCACAGTCAGCACGAAGAGCACCGGCCCCACGAAGGCCCAGACGACATCTGTGTGCACATTGAGCCAGCAGTGCCCAGTGGCCATGTAGTCATGGTGGTGTGTGGCCAGGGTGACAGCCATGATGACCACAGGCACTCCTAGGGAAGGAAGAAGTAGCTTTAGGTCACATTATCACTCCTTTCTTTCCAGGACCCAGCCCTGGCCCCAAGCTGAAGCCCACAGCTGTTTCCCTTGGTAACAGCTGTACTGAACACCTTGGGGAGGCCAGGAACAGAGTTGGGTGGGCTTGGTACTGTTGAAAGCTTGCAAGGGGAGAGAGCCGAGATGGGACTGAAGGCTTAGAGCTATGAGTCAATAAGGGGGCAATGGAGTTAGCTGGTCACGGATGGGGAGTACCGGAGATGGGAGCTGAGGCTGTTGAAGTGGAGGGGATTGTGGGGAGGCTGAGAAAACTGAGCTCCTATCAGAGATGGGTACCAGGTGGTGCTAGGTGAAGATGAGCACTAGGTGCTGCTGGGTGACGGGTGCTAGCTGATGCTGGGTGAAGATGAGTACTGAATGGTATTGGGTACTGAGCGGTTCTAGGAGCCAGGTAGAGACGGGGCTGGGTGGCACTGGCGTGGGGCGCTGTTGCATGGCAGTGGAGGCTGTGTATGGCACGGTTGAGAATAGAGCAAGAGCAGGGAGCAGGGCCTCACCCCAGCCTGCAGCATGGTAGAGCCTCATCCTGGGGCCTGGGCGCATGCTCACAGTCACCACCCTGTCCCACAGCAGCAGCCCCTCCACGAGCATCCAGGAGAACGCGACCAAAAAGAGGAGGTGCATGGCGGCCGTGACAGCCATACACACCGCCTTTGGGAGGATGGGGGACCCCGTGAGCTCAGTCTTGGGCACAGTCCTGCCCTGGGTCCCTTGCCCATGCCTGGCATTGTCATCTCAAACAGGAATCAGTGGGTAAGGTCTCTGGGTCCCACCATCAGGACAGTTCTTCTTTGGGCCTTGCTCTTCCCCAGGGGAATGGAGCCAAGTGGAGATGGCAGGGGTGGGGGTGGGGACAAACCAGAAAAGGCCCCCAGCTTGCAAGGCCACCCACTGGGTGCCCACCTTGTTGGTCTTCGCCCACTCACTGGCCATGAGGAAGCCCTCGGCGGAGGCCAGGGAGAAGGTGAGGTTCTTGTGAACTGTGGTGCGCTCCGACTTGGGGACCCTGGGCAGGCAGTGGGATCAGTTAACAAGGACAGCATCACTGGCACATCACACCTTGTTCCACCTGGGTCCCCTGTGGATGGGCCAGAAGAGGCCATAGGGCTGGTGACACAGGGGCCTAGCACACACCAAGGGGAGGCCGAATCAAGGCCCTAGGAACCAAGAATGGACACCTGACCCAAGGAGGTCTGTGGAGGCCCCAACACAGCCTGGTCTCCTCACCCGGCCACCAGGAAGAGCAAGAAGGTAGTGGTGAGAGCACAGAAGGACACTCCGCAGCCCACAAACGAGAGAGTCCTCAGCAGTGACTCCTCCTCTGGGCCCCTCTGTGGGGAGGGATGGAGAGGATCTGTCACCACCTTGAGGAGAGCAGATTCACCCTGCTTGGTGACCCCGAGGCTCCCCAGGCTTCCTCCTCAGGAAAGTAAGGTGGTGACAGTGGCAGCCACTGGGCCCAGGCGCTTAATAACTGAGCATTGCATATGTTCCTGTCCTGCTGGCTCTTCCTAAACAGCCTGTCAACCCAGCTGCCAGTGACTTGGAAATGACCAGCATGCTCATGAGCAGGGGGTGAAGACAACCACGGGGAGGGTTATTAGAAACAAGGCTTTTTACGTCGTGGAAAATGTCCACGCTCTGTTCTCACAGGGAAATTGCTGGGAACGATGCTTTTCTAGGGTGTGCCCTAGTACTCCGAGTGACCCCCCACCTTCCTTAGGCTCCAGCCCTTACTAGCAGTCCTGTCTAGCTTGACCTCCTAAGTGACTAGAGTCCCTTTCCAGCTCAGGGAGCCCAGCCTGGTCAGCTCCTGGAGTTTGCCTCTAATCTATCACCTTACGCATCCCTCTGGGGGCCTCTTTTTGTGAGTCTCCTTTTACTTCCGCTCTCATTTGGGCTGATAACTTTACCTACCAGCTCATCTGCAGCCAAGATTCCCTCTTGAACACCAGATTCCAGACCCCACAGCCCCTCTCACCCTCACAAGTCACTGACACCTGTGCTCTCTCAGAGCTGAATCAGTGGCCCACACCTTGGTCCCTGATAGCCCCTCTTCCCTCATCCATGTGGCTTCTTGGGACAAGTATGCCCTGTCTCAACTGCTTGCTTTGGGCAGACTGTCCCTGTGGTTGGAATGCCTTCCCTCTGCATTGCACATTCTCTAAGATGTAGCCCCAACATTGTCACCTTCCCCCACCCCCAGGTGCTCACCTGGACATCGTACACCTGCAACAGGACAGCAAAGTTGGTGCTGTGGTTGCAGAAGCAGGTAGTAGAGTCCTGGTGCAAAGCGAGCACGGAGCAGCCGGATGTGGCCCAGGAGCCCCCTGTGTCTGGGCTTGGGCGGGGAGGGAACAGAAGAGATGGCATGGACACGGGGATGGGGAGAAGGGGCAGGCAGGGGAAGGCCTATCCCCATGCCTGGGGCCCTTCAATGCCTTGCCTTGAACAAGCAGTACAAGCAGTGACCTTGGCCAGGCACTGACCCACCCCAGCCTCTACTTCCCATCTGTCAAACTGGCTTAACCTCCCCAGGGATGGCAGGGGGGTGGGGTGGGAGGGGGAGGTGCACACCAGTGACCTCTGTTTCTTACCTGCATTGATTATTAAGCAGTTGGGGTTGATGTTCGGTCACAGTTAAAGCCCCGTGGGGAGGGGGAGGTGCAGGCCCCAAATATGCCTGAGCTCTGCCTCATTTGCAAGCATTTAAGAAATGCCTTAAAAGAACATGGAAATTCACCTGATACTGAAGTCCCAGAAAGCACAGACTGGCTCCAGCAGCTTTTGAGGGAAGACCTATGGGCAGAAAACAGACAGGACAGAAGTGTGTGTGTGCATGCATGTGTGTGTGTGTGTGTGTGTGTGTGTGTGGTGTAAAAGGAGAGAGATCAAAAGAATGGAGGGGAGCCAGGCACCAGTGGCTCACTCTGTAATCCTAGCTACTCAGGAGGCAGAGATCAGAAGGATCACGGTTCGAAGCCAACCCTGGGCAAATAGTTAGTGGGACCCTATCTCGAAAAACCCCTTCACAAAAAAGGGCTGGTGGAGTGGCTCAAGGTATAGACCCTGAGTTTAAGCCCCAGTACTGAAAAAAAAAAAAAAAGATGGAGGGGGACAGGAATGCTGAGGACTCTGTAAGTTTGTTTTTTGCGGGACAGAGTCTCACTATCTAGCCCAGGTTGACCTCAGATTCGCCATCCTCCTGCCTCAGCCTCCAGAGTGCAGGGATTACTGGCATCGCCACTCCAGCTGATTCACTGGGTTTTAGGGCCACAGGTTATCCATCCTGGGTCCCAGGGGGAAGGGTGTGGAAAGAGCAGTGCCACAAGAGGCAGAAGGGAAGGCCAGGTGAGGACTCTTTTATTCTAGCATCGTGTATAAGACTGAAAACTGGAGCTAGGAGCTCATGGCTCATGTCTGTAATTCTAGTTACTTGGGAGGCTGAGATCGGGAAGATTAAAGTTTGAGGCAAGCCTGGGCAAATATTTTGTAAGACCCTGTCTCCAAAATAACCAGACCAAAATGGACTAGAGGTATGGCTCAAGTGGTGGAATGCCTGCTTTACGAGTGAGAAACCCTGAGTTCAAAACCCACTTCCACAGGAAAAGGAAAAAACCAAAAAACTGAAAACTGAGAGCAAGCTAAATGACCATCCCCCCCGTGAGCGGTTGATCAGCAGTGACTTCCCTCTGCATCTGGTCAGATCAACAAGTGGGTCCCTACTCACACAGAAAGAGCCTTGTGATTTTGTGCTCAGTAAAGGACCTCATACCGTTACGCACCTAAGGAGCCCATTTATGTGAAGAGTTAAACACCACAGTAAAACTGATGCACACACAAGGTGTGGGAGCAAACGCACAGCTAACCTAACAATGGGGAGGTCTCAAGTGTGTTATAATGAGCAGATCAGTTCTTTTGTAATTAAACAAAAACTGCAATACAGATTTTCTAAGATGGCATTAGTGGCAGACAGCGAAGGCAGCCAGTGCTTAGGACTTGATGAGGGTACCAGCAACGTCACCTCCCTTGGTGACATTGCCAAGGGAGTGCTTGGTTTTGCCAAGCACTTTCATGTCCTTGGTTGTGATTGTTATAGCAATCTAGGAGACAGATATATACTTATGCAATTTCAGATGGGGAAACTGAGGCTCAGAGACGGGAGTTAGTCTGCCATAGTTGACGGTGTGGAACTGAGAGTGGGCTAAGGTTGGTTGTCTCCAGGCTCCTTCCTGTTCTCTATGATAAGGCCTCAGACAGTTTCTTGAGTGGACTGAGGTGTCACCCTAGATACTCATCCATTCATAATATTTTTTCTGAGTCCCAAGCACTATAGTGGGTACCAGAAACACAAATAAAAGCAGTCCTTCACTTTAAAAATGGCCGATTCTTGCAGCACCACTAGGGGCATTTTCAAGTGGTGTACACTGAAAGAGAAATGTAGCTGTTATAAAACTACTTGTGCCATTGGCCCCGAACCTGGAAGCAGTCACCAAGAATCAAAATGAGGGCTAATTACAATAGAAAAACCCTGGCTCCCTGCACGCGGGATGAGGGGAGGTCGTGTTTGTTTTGGTCCACTCCCGGTAAGGGTGGCTGTTCTGACCTCAGACCTATATGTGCTAGGATGGAGCAGCAAGTGACAGGATGGCAAGGGGACACCTGTGACTGAGACAATGCAGAAAACACCTGCAGGAAAGTAAAAAGCCCATGTTTGCATGGCTTTTAGTTTTGCAAAAGGAAAGAAGTCTTTGTCATTTTCATCAAGATGGCACTGGAAGTGAAGAAATCTACTCCCAAGGCCAAAGCCCAAGAAAGGCAGAGTTGAAAGGTGGCTATGGCCATAAAAAATAAGATCCACCTTGTCACCCACCTTCCGGTGGCCTAACACACTGCGTCCCAGAGGCAGTTTACTGCTGTTGTCAAGGTTCCCCTGACCACCAAGTTTGCCATGAAGACAGAAACCGAATCATGGTTATAGTGGATGTGAAGGTAAACAAGTGTCAGATCAAACAGGCTGTGAAGAAGCTCTGTGACGTGGATGCAGCCAAGGTCAAAGCTCTGTGACATGGACGTAGTCAAGGTCAATGCCCTGGTCAGGCCTGACAGACAAGAAGCTACGTGTCTGGCTGACTTCTCATTATGATGCTTTGGTGTCGCCAGTGAAATGGGAATTGTCTAAGCTGAGTCTAGCCACCTAGTTCTAAATACAATTTTTTTCACCATTTAAAAAAAAAAAGAAATACTGGGTTGGCAGAGTGGCTCAAGTGGTAGAGTGCCTGCCTAGCAAGCCTGATGCCCTGAGTTCGAACTCCATTAATGCCAAAAAAGAAAAAAGGACATATTTAATGTGACGTGTCCAGAAAAAGGCTGAAGGGAGATATGCCAGCCTGTCCATAGCCTTTATCTCTGGGTGATAGGATTTTAGCTTTTTCTTTTTGTATCGAATAATGCATGACTCTTACTAATTTTTTAGTTCAAAGTTTTAAAAAATCATATTATTAATATATAAATTATTAATTACGTTCCAAAACTTAGCTCTTTGAAGTTGGTTAGCAGGTACAAGACTGCAGATGAACAGGAAGAATAACTTCTCACATCCTGTAGCACAGTAATGTGATCATGCTTGATAATAACTGTATTTCAAAAGAGGTAGAAGAGCCAGACACAGTGGCTCACACCTGTAATCCTAGCTACTTGGGAGGCAGAAATTGGGAGGACCCTGGTTTGAGACCAGCCTGGGTAAAAAGTCAGCTAAATCGCCCCCCCACCCTCCCCTCTCAACCAGTAGCTGGGCCTGGTGGCGTGTGCCTGTCATCTCAGCTACGCAGTTCAGGCATAGGTCTGGGCAAAAACACTAGACCCTATCCCAAAAATAACTAAAGCAAAAGGGCTGGAAGCATGGCTCAAGTGGTAGAGCACCTGCCTAGCAAGCTCAAAGTCCTGAGTTCAAACCCCAGTACCACTGGGTACGCTGTAAACGTTTGATAGGATTTAACAGTGAGGTTTTTCTGGACCTAGTATTTTCTTTGCAGAAGGACTTTCAATTGTAAGAGCTGTTTCTTTAATTGATACAGATTATTTGGATGTTTTATTTCTTCTTGAAATGGGTTGGAAATTGTGCCTTTCAAATAATTTGTCTACTTCATGTAGGCTGTCTGATTTTTAGCATAAAGTTGTCCTTGACAACCCTCTATTATCCTTTTAACATCCATGGCACCAAGAGTGGGGTTTTTCCCCAATTTTGTTTATATTTCAAAGGGCTTTTAATATATTTTTATTTTTAATGGACACATAAAAATTACACATTTTTGGGGTATAGCATAATTCAATATACATATAATGTGTGTAATAATTAGATCTGGGTAGCTGGCATTTCTACCACAGGAATCATTCATCCTCTCTTCTAGCTTTTGGTGGTACTGGTTTTTTCTGTTTTGTTTTGTTTGCAGACAGGGTTTGAACTCAGGGCTTACACCTTGAGCCACCAACCCTGTTTAGTGATGACCTTTTTTCTTTTTATGAGATAGGGTCTCTTGAACTATTTTGCCCTGGCTGGCTTCAAGCCATGATCCTCCTGATCTCTGACTCCTGAGCAGCTAGGATTACAGGCGTGAGCCACTGGGAGGAGAGAACACTTCTGCTGACTTTGTGAGGCCAATAATAATCTGATATCAAAACCAGAGAGAGACATTACAAGAAAACCACCGAACACATTGTCTGTGAACTTGAACATAAAAATCACTATAACAAAATGTTTGAAGTTGAATCCAACAACATATGCAGAAGACAGCAAGCCAGACATGGTTGTGCAAAGCTGAAATTCCAGCTACTTGCTAGGCAGGTGCTCTACCACTTGAGCCATGCCTCCAGTTCCATCCCACCTACTTGGGAAATGGAGTCAGGAGGATTTCAGGTTTGAGGCTACCCCAGGCAAAGGTATCATGGAGACACTGTCTCAAAATACAAAAGGGCTGTGGGTGTGGCTCAAATAGTAGGCATTTGCCTAGCATACACAGGCCCTGGGTTCAATCCCTAGCACTACTCACACACACACACACAAAAATAACGTGCCATAACTAAGTGAGGTTGTTATCAGGAATCCAAGGTAGGTTAAACATTTGAAAATCAATTAATGTAATTTACTATATTAGTAAAATGAAAGAGAAAACCATAGGATTGTGTCAATGTGGAAGAAGTATTTGGCAAAACTCAATAGCTATTCAAGCTGACAAAAATTCCCAGAAAGCCAGGGAGGTGGGATTTTAATTTGAAAAAAGGGCACCTATGAAAAATCCACAGGTGACACTTAATGATGAAAGACTGGATGTTAAAAAAAAAAAAGAGACTGGATGGTTTCTTTAAGATGGGGTATGAGACAAGGATGCCTGGCTTCACTGCTCCCATTCAACAATGAATTAGAAATTCTAGCCCATGCAATAAGGTAAGAAAAAGGAAAAAAAAAAAAGACATGGATTGAAAAGGAGAAACCAAAACTGTTTCCATCTCCAGATAACACGGTTGTGAGTGTAGAAAATCCAGAGATTCAGAAGGCAACTACTAGAAGGGTCTAGTGAGTTCAGCAAAATTTTAGGATGCAATTTTGGTGTGCCAAAGTCAGTTGGATTTCTATTACTTAACAACGAATAATTTTGAATTGAATTAAAAAAATACCATTTACAATCACATCCTGAAATATGGCATACTTAGAGATATATTTAATAAGATATCTTTAATACCTGCACACTAAAAACTATGTATTACTGCTGAGAAAAATTTAAGAAACCTAAATAAATAGAAGGATAGAGATTGACTATGTATTGGAAGACTCACTTTACTTTTTTTTTGATGGGACTGGGGTTTGAACTCAGGTAGAACAGGTACTGTGCCTCTTGAGCCACACCTCCAGTCCATTTTGCTCTGGTTATTTTGTAGATGGGGTCTTTCAAGGCTGGCCTTGAACTGAGATCCTTGCTATCACAGCCTGCCAAGTAGCTAGGATTATAGGCGTGAGCCACCAGCACCCAACGCAGCCTCATTTTTAAGATGCCAGTTTTCAGGTTGGTGTACCAACTCAAGTGCTGATGCTCCTGACTTGCAAATACAAGGCTCTAAGTTCAAATCCTTGTACTACAAGAAAGGATGCCAGTTCTCCCAAAGTGATGTATACATTCAATGAAATCTCAATCACAATCCCAGCTGTTTTTTCTGTCAATATTGACAAGCTGATTCTAAAATTTACATGGAAACAATCTAGGTTAGCCAGTGCAAATTTGAAAAAAAAAATGAAGTTGCAGGATTTTAATTACTATACAGGCTCATTAGTCAGGAAAGTATGGGACTAGAGAAAAGGTAGATCAATGGAACAGAAAAAATGAGCTCAGAAATAGACCTACATATCATATGGTCAATTGATTTTCAACAGATCTACATGGAAAAGGTGATAAATTGGGCATCACAGTTAAAAACTTATCTTAAAGAGCACTGAACTGTTCATCTGTTGCTGAAAGGGATGTAAATGATACAACCAATTTGGAAAACAGGTTGACAGTTTCTTAGGAAGTTAAAAATGCACTTACCATGCAACCTGGCAAGTCTGATTTTAAGAATTTACCCAATAAAAGCTGGGCACCAACGGCTCATGTCTGCAATCCTAGCTACTTGGGAGACTGAGATCAGGGGGAAAACAGTTCAAGGCCAGCCCGGGCAAATATTTCAAGAAATCCCCATCTTCAAAATAACCACAACAAAATGGACTGGAGGTGTGGCTCAAACAGTATAGCACCTGCTTTGCAAACATGAAGCCCAGTTCCACAAAAAAGAAAAAAAAAAAAAGGAAGAAAATGTCACCTGGCTTCCGAGCCATCAACACATATGATGAAGGGAGAGTGGTGATTTATTGATATGAAAAACTGACCAGGGAGAGGCACAAAGCAGCCCTTTGGGAAGTAGAAATACCCTGGTTGATTGGGGTAGGGGTACACTGATAAATTCACTGGCCAAAACTTGTCAGACTGTACACTTCCTTGTACATTCACACAGTTGGCTCTCTGTTCAGAATCCACAGATTCAACCAACTCTGGATGGAAATTTTCAAACAAGAAAAATTATGTCTGTACTGAAATGTACAGGCGTTTTTTTCTTGTCATTATTCCCTAAAGTATCCACTATAATAATAACTACTTACAGGCATTGACGTTGTATTAGATATTATAAGCAATCTAGAAATGATTTAAAGTGTACCGGAGGGTGCGGAAGGTTATTGCAAACACTGTGACATTTTATATAAGTGACTGGAGCACCCGTGTTAAGTTTTGGTATCTTGGCGGCGGTGGGAGGGGCTTCTGGATCCAATCCCCCATGAACACGAGAGAAGACTGCACACTTGAATCAAAATGATAGTTTAAAAGTCTTGAGAGGATGTAGAAAAAGACTGACAAGCCATTGTGTGCGTGGGTGTGTGTCTGTGTGTCCCCAGAATGACTGGTTGTCAGCAAAGAAGGCTTAAGCATCCTCTGAAATGTTGTAATGTCTCAAAAGAAAGGAGTTTGGGTTTCTAGCTACTACTGCTTACTTCCCTTCCTGAGCTCGTGAGGACAGTGACATCACTGGGGAGGGATATGTCCTCTTGAGCAGGTTTAGTACACCAGGGTGACTATTTCCCAGATGGGCCAACCATACCTGGGCTTGGTGCTGCAGGTGAAAGGTCACGGCCGTGCTCACCTCCCCAGCAGCGTCCCACACCTCAGAGGAGAGGATGGCTGACCCCACCTGGGTGCTTAGGAGCCTGTGGGAACAAAGGGCACTTCTAAGGGTGGCTGTAGGGGGAGGGGGAGCAGGAAAGTTCACATAGCGGAGATCTCAGTGGTGAGCTGGGTTTGACTGGCCTCCTTTCTGCAGACCCAGAAGAGGGGGGCAGGGAGATGGGGGTGAATCTAAGCTGCTAAGCATTAGAAAGATGGTTCTGGGAGAGGTGGGGGCCCAGCTTTCCCCAGGGAGAGGACAAAGGCCCTCAGCAGCCTTCTGAGTGGGGTCCACTTACCTCTGCATCCTGCTTGCCTCTTCTAAACTGTTGGGGGTCTGGGGTACCAGGTTGCGCAACCCCAGAGTTTGCTGGAAGATGCTGGAGGCGAACCAGCTGTGGATCACTGTGACTCCAGAGAGGCCTGGCTGAGTGTGAGGGGGACCCAAGACCCCACCCAGTGACTGAGCAAGCATCACTGGTTAGCTCTGAGGGTAATGCTTTTTCCATTTACAGATAAGGAAACTGAGGCTCAGAGAGGCAAATGACTTCCCTAAGACCACACAGCTAAGAAATGACTGAGCCAGAATGTCAACCACCTTGCTTGGCAGTTCAGATCCCTTTTGTCCCTTGCCTTAACCCTCCACCCCTGCATAGCACCAGGGGCTGGGCCCCCTCTACCATCCACTCCCCAGGAAAATTGTGTGTTCTGTAGAGGAGATTAAGGGAACACTAGTTTGTGGTGGGTGATTTTGGCCTCATAACCACACACAAGGTGAAAACTAAGAGCCCATCTTGCAGATGAGGAAACTGAGGGTCTGCAGGATGAAGACCCATTCGATGTGGCATAGCCAGCTAGCCATGTCAGAGCTGAGGTTTGGGGCCAGGTGACCCTTGTCCTTACCCACCTTTCCCAAGGAGCCGCCTCACTTCACCTGCCGGAATGTGGATGTGGCCGGGTCCCTCTGCATGCCCACCGGGCATCGTGAATGTGTGGCCCGCAGTGCTGGCCTCCCCCAGGTATAGGCTCTGCACATCCAGACCTGAGATCAAATGGGGCTGGTGGCCGACCTCAGGAGGGAGGGCTTTCTGCTCAGTTGACTGCAGGGCTGGCTTGCCCCCTCCTGACCACAAGACTGGGAGGCAACTCCTGCTCAGAGAGGCTCAGCCACCAGCCCAAGGCAGATCTGGCTTCTCCAAGCTTTTGGGGGCAGGAAGGTGTCACTGAGAAAGGGGAGCCACTGGGAACCAGGACCTTAATATCAATGAGTCACCAGAAGTCAGCAGGCACCTGAGGGACACAAATTTGTGCCTGGAGTTCACCACAGGTGTTCTATCACTCAACCTACACTCATTGAGTGTGAGCTTGGTCCTGGTGCTGTGTAGAGATGAATTAGAACCAGCCCTGGAACCCAGGGATTGTCAGGAGGACAGAGACAAACCTACTATGTAACTGTCACAAATGCAACCAGAGACATGTTTGGGTAACTGAGGAGGGAGGAACTATCAGGAGAGTGCTCAAACAGGAAGGCTTCCTAGAGAAGGTGATGCTCGAGCAGTGTTCTGAAGGATGTATAGGAGTTTGCTAGGAGCTCAAGAGAGAAAGGGCATTCTGGGTAGAGAGCACAGCATGGACAAAGTCAGAGAAGAGAGTGGAGCAGGAGCAGAGAGCTCCCATGGCTAGGCTGAGATATCTAAGCCCAAGCTGCAGGGGTGGGTGGCGGCTCACCAGCATGATGGTGCTGGATGAGCATTCGAGGCCTTGTGGAAGTCAGCACGGTGCTCAGCAGGGGTGTCAGGCGCTGCATGCTGACCACCAGGGCCATAGGTCCACCAGCCATCTGGGAGGAAGAGGCATCTCAGCTCCCTCTCCCACCCGGCACCCCACTGCCACCAGCCCTGACTTTCAATGCTGTGAGGTGCCCTGAGCTCCAGACCCTCAGTGGCTCCTTAGGACCTCAGGATCCAGTCCAAGGTCCCCAAGCTGGCGTTTGGAGCCTTGCCTGCCCCCGCCTCCTTTGACATCTCCATCCCCATCTCCTGATTTACCTCATCACTTAAGGCCTCCTTAAACTCTGGCTCATCATTTGCCAACTGGCTCTCACTCTTCAGCTGGGCTGTGTCACCTTCATGTGAGGTGACAGCAGGAGAGGGAAGGGACAGCATGCATTAATGGGAAACCCACCACCCAATTCACCCCGAACTCCATTGTCTTAGCAAGGCAGGTGTGAGGATCCCCATTGTGAAGGAAGAAAACTGTTTGGATTCCAGCTGTCCTCTAGCTGCCATTTAATTAGGAGTCTGCCTCTGATCCCTAATCAAATGTGGGCTTGCATACTTGCCAGGATGGGGAGATCATTATCTGTCCAGGTGAACAATTCCAAGGAACCAGGATCTGGTTCCTTTACCCTATCCCCATACTGTGATCCTAATTCTGCCTTCTGAGGTCACAGGGACTATGTCTATTCCTTCAGCCCCAGATATTTGCAGGCAATGTCTATGACCTCCTGTTCCCTTCCCTCCTCTGGGTCAGTCAGTCCCAGGCCTATGGCCACTTTTGCCAGGATGGGGTTTCCAATAGTCTTCCCGTCCAGCTGGCATCTTTCCCATTCTCTAGCATCTGGCTGTTTAGACAAGATGCGCTGACCACTTAGTACACAGAACCTTCCACTTGAGGCCGTAGCAGATTCTTGGATCTAGGGAAGACCCTTATTCACTAGTGGCTCTTAACCATTCTTAGCTATGGATGATATTGTTCAAGTGCAAACTCAACTTATAAAATAGCTGCTCCTAAGGCATGGAGAGATAGAGCCCAGGGATGGGTTCTTATTCATCCATAGCTATACAACAAGCTGGTGACAAGGCCAGACCAGAGCCCAGGCCCCTGGTCAGACGTGCCAGCCTTACCTCACTGATAGACAGCCATGTACCAGCCAACTGCTCATCCAGGACCAGGCTAGTCACAGACACAACGCCCTGGCCCAGCTGCTCCCAGGGGCCTGTCAAATGCTCCAGCTCCCCAGCCCCAAGGGCTGTCACCCTCTTCAGGAAGTGCACGACAGCCAGCAGTGCAGCGGGCCCCAACGGAGCTGTCTCTTCTGCCAGGACCCTCTCCAGGGTGCCTAGAAAGCTGGCAGCCTTGTCTAGAGACAGGGCCTCAGGGGCTTCAGAGAGGGGGCACCGGAGGAGCTGTGGGTAGAGGAAGACTGCCTGTCTGGCTGTCACAAGGTGATCTGCCAGGGGCCACCCTTGGGCTCTGCCAGGGTCTTCTTGGTGGGTGCTGGGGAAACTTGTCACAAGCTCCCAGCTCTGAGGAGCTCCAAAATAGAGCACACGAATAACCCTAATTATGCAGACACATCAGGTGACTGTCCTCTTTGCAGGTGAGCAAATGGAAGGGCAGTGAGTGAGCCCAAAGCACCCCAGACACTCCAGCCTCCTGGGAGGGGACTCACCACAGTGGCATTGGCTAAGGCATTCACATGGCTGATGACATCCTGGCCAGGCCATGACCGGCTATCCTGCAGCTGCCAGTAGGTCTCTGCAAAGGGGTGGATGCTGAGGTGGACCCTCAGCAACAGGAGGGTGCCAGCCTGCTCAGTGATTCACACCCACCATGTGCTTCTCAGGAAAGGAAGAGCACATCCATGGTTAAAGTCTTACACGGGGTGTGCAACCTAGACGGGGAAACTGAGGCATGGAGTAGCAAAATCACCTGCCTAAGGTCACTCTCCAGGTCTGTCTGGCCCCACTGCCCTGTGGTCTAGACTCCATGCCCTATAGCCGGCAGCTCAGAGTAGACTCTGACTTCTGAGGTTCTGCAGGTCCCCATTTGCAAAACTCAGGGGCACACAGAGGACGCACCTGTCCGGTAGCAGCAGAGGAAGGGCCTCGGTTGCAAGCAGAGCTCGAAGCCCTCGGTGTGGCGTCCTGGGTTCCACATGGGGCATTCCTCTGAGGGTACTGGCCAGGATGGTGGTGTCAAGACCACACGCTGGCTCTTTAACAGTCACGCGACCCACCCACCCATGCTGGCCTAGAAGACACCTGCCCACCTGACGGGGCGTCATGTCGCACCACCCCAGGGTGACAGGGCAACGTGAGATCTGGGTGAGCGGCCCAACAGCCAGCACCCGCTGGCTACCAGAACTGGGTGGCAGCGGGCGTGGCCAGAAGTTGGGCGGGGCCAGGTTGGCGAAGGGTGAATTGGGTTGAAGGAAAAAGGGGTCCGAGTCGGGGGGGGGGGGCAGGGCATTGAGCAGACAGGCGGGGCGGAGTGTTGTAACCAATAGCACGGCAGTGGGCGGGCAGGGGGTGGGGTCTGGCAGCGCGGGGCGGGGCGCTGGGCCGGCTATGGGACAAGGTCTGGTGAGCGGTACCTGGACAGAGGAGATGCACCTGCACAGCAGGCAGCAGCGAGGGCGTGACATCCAGGGCGCTTGGGTCCCAGCGGAAGAGCAGGCCGCTGAGGGGCGGCGCGCAGGCCCGAGCCCGCTGCAGCTGCGCAGGACTCAGGGCCTGGGCCCAGAAGTGGAAGTCGGTGATGTTGCCGCTGAAGGCGTCACGCGCCGAGAAGCCGCCGCCGGGGGAGTCCTGATCCTGGCCCAGCACCAAGATGCCCCCGGGCGGCACCGGATGGCCCCCGCCCAGGCCCCGCGCCCCTGCGCGCAGGCACCCGTCGGCGAACAGCGCCCAGCGTCCGCCTTGCTGTTCCCACGTGGCGCACACGTGGTGCCAGCGGCCGTCGGCGCGGAAGGCAGCGTGGAAGGGCGCGTGGTGGCCGCGCACCACCAGCGCGACGCGCACGGTGTCCCCCGGCTCGGCGAAGGCACGGAGCTGCAGCGCGTTGGCCAGCGCGGGCACCGCGAGGGAGACGAATGTGGCTACATCAGACGAGGCCATGTCCCACTGGACGTGCGCGCACGCCGTCAGCGCGGCCAGGGCTGGCAGGGGGGTCCGCAGCCGCGCCGCCCTGTCCGCGGTCCTCTCGCTGAACACCAGCGCGGTGGTGGTGTGCACACCTGCGGGGACATGTGGCTCAGGACCTCAGTTTCCCTAGCTGCACACACGGACCTGCCTCTGACTGCCGTTGGCACAGCTGTGGGGCCCTCCATTGGATCCCAGCTCTCCTACCCAGGAGTCATTCCCTGTTTTCAGACCACAGCGAGAGAACATGGAGATGCAATGGAGTGTTTGTTACTCCCAGTTTATTCTGCAAGTATTGTCACTGTGATCTCCCATCTCGGAAGGTCATTAGAGCCTCTACTGTTCCCCAACCCCCCAGGCCCTGACCCCATTCTTAGGCCTTTGCGGGGGTCTCCGTAGGGAGGCCTCTCTTTGGCCCACCCAGACCGGGTCTCGTAGCCGCGAAACAAGAACTCCATCTGGGCTTCCCAGTGCCAAGTGGCCAAATTGCTGCTCGCAGGACTCTTGGGCTTGCCACCAGCTTAGCCGCTGCCCTGGGAACTTGCACAAGCCATCAGCAGTCTCCACCACTTCACCTGGGGTCGCTGGGGCTGGAGGGTGGAAGGAGAGAGGGCGTGGGAGAACATTTTGTGCGCATCTCACCCAGGACATTGGGTTTTGTGGGTAGGGCCAAGGACATTGGGTTCAGAGTCTTTCTGCCTGGCCTGGGCTGACTATGCTGTGAGCCCTGCTCCCCGCAGAGCCTTTTTAGATCTGCATACAGGAATGAAATGGACTGGAGGGATGCTTTCCACCCAGGGCCTGGCATGGAGGGTGTGAACTAAATTCTCTACTGTGCATCCCAGGCCAGCGCGCCACTTCCTCCACAGCAGGCTGGGCTAGGGGAGGGCTTCTTCATACCAACCTGTGTCCCAAGGGGTCCTTGATTCACTTGGGGAGTTGGAGGAGGTCCCACAGAGACTCCTAATCTAAGAGAGAAGATGGTGGGGGCTGGGACAGGCTCTCCCCCGCCCGTTGTGCAGAAATTGAATGCCTGGTGTGTGTTCCAGGGGGTGCAGTGGAGGCTGCAGGCCCTGCAGTCTGTGATCTTGGGCAAGTTCTTGGTTGTGAGGCATAAACTGATGAGTGAGTGTGAGAGATGCAGCACCCTCTGTATTTTATAACCATTGCAGCGACCTCATGATGTGCGGTGGCCACCATGTGGAGCCCCAGCAGTTTTGGGTCCCCTTGATCTCCTCTCACACCCCACCCCCCCAGGAAGTCAGGTACCAGGAGGGAAAGGAGGCAGTAACACCAGAGGGCCATTCTGAATTCAGCAAGGACAGGTGGTCAGCAGGGGGTCACAGGTGTGGCCAGGGTGGACTGAGAAAGAGAAAAAGCAAAAAGCACACAGCTCAGTCCTATCTTGCTATTGCTATAACTCCTATAGGGTCACTGCCCAGCCCTTTGTTTGCTTCCCAGACCTCATGAACTGGGAACCAGCCAGTGGGATTGGAGTCCAGGAAGAGGTGGTCCACCCACTAGGGATGACATTTACTTGCACAAAGGGATGGTCTCCTAGAGCCCCTTCAGGACCGAAGCTGGGAAACTGTAACCTTGGTGAGTGGGCAGGGAGGGTGCAGCGATCCACTGGCCACAGGGCTACAGGGGGAGGGGCTCAGGGCCTTATGGGCTTCCTTGTGTTCTAGGTTACCAACTTCATCTGTTCCACCATTCCTGGTGCAGCCACCTCCCCTCTCCCCCGTCCATGGGTTTTTGAGATAGGATCTCTCTATGTAGCCCAGTCTTGAACTCCTTAGTGAATCCCAGCCTCCTCCAAGTGCTGGGATTACAAGTATGCACCACTACACCGGGCTTTGCAGCCACCTTTCCTACTGCTCTGGGAGCTGCAAGTATTTCCACACCTCCGCAGCCCTTTGGTCACATTGTCCCCCTGCATGAGCTGGCCTCTCATTCTCTCAGCAGCACCTTTTTCAAGATGTGTTCTCAGTCAGTCCATCCATCCACCAATGTAGGGGGTCTGCCATCACCAGGCGCTGTACTAACTGGGCTACCTTAATCAAGGGTGATTTGTGGGTCACTCCTGGCAATCTGGGAGGCGCTGCAGGCAGGGAAGAGGCTTTGGCATGCACAAATGGGTCTTGGGAAACAGACTGTCCTACCAACTGGCCTCATGCCACCTGGGAGACCGGAACCATCATCAATGGTAGCTAACTCATGCCCTTTCTTCTCTCCCAGACAATCTATGAGTTTGAAAACCAACAGGTACCAGCTCAGAAGGACCCAGAGGTCCACATCTTTTAGACTATGAAAAACACCAATTGATTGGCACTCTTCCCGCTTTTCGAGCTTGCTAGGCAGGCGCCCAACCTCTTGAGCCACCCCTCCAACCCTCCCTGACCCCTTTTAAACAGCACCTGCCTTCCGGCCCCAAGTCGGCTGGGGGCTGAGACCAGATGCCTACCATATGCTGGGCACGTAGTAGGGGCACAGGGGATACCGACTTGCTTGCTCACGCTGGCGGGTGTTTGACCCCCCCAACCCTCCATGCCCCTTGGCGCTCACCTTCCTAGTTCACCAAACACTCGCAGACCAGGGAGAGACATGTCAAGTTTGGCGCATTCCCCTCGGCGAGGGTGTAGCGGGGAATACCGTCTAGGCCGATGTGCCCCGGCTGGTCCCCTTTTGCCCCAGCCCGGGTCCTAACCTGCTTCGCTTGGAGACTGGAGTCGGTCCACTGACTGCAAGCCGTCGGGTCTGTGCTCCTCCTCCAGCGGGCGGGGAGGGGGCGGGGCTACAAGACCACGCCCCTTGTCACGCCCCCCGGGAGGCTGGGAGGGGATCTTCCGTCCCTGCTGGGGTCGCTGTAACTGCTATTCCAACTACACAGGTAAGGTCACCTGATTAGAAAGGGCCACATAGGGAGTTCGGGATGCAAAAGGAACTCGTGGAAGCAGAGGAGCCCTGGGCTTCCGGTTGTCTTCAAGGACCAGGCCAGTAGGGGAGCTGGGAGCCGCTGCCTGCCCCGAACTGGCTCTGTTCACGGTCTCCCACTGTGAGCAGGGCTGTCACCCCACTTCACAGGAGCACCGAGAGCTCTTGCCCCAAGTTAGGTAGTTGCCCATTGGCGGAGCCTGACCTTGAACCCCAGCTCTGGGGTTCATCCATTCGAAAGAGAAGGTAGGAAATGGAAGAACAAACAAACATCCAAGGAGGGGGAGGTGGGGCGGAGGCGCAGACGCGACCTGAGGGCGTGGGGTGCGGAGGCCACGCCCCTTCCCGGGGAAGTCTGGGGTGCACCTGGCTGGCCTTAGTCGCAGGCATTTCTGGTTGGGAGGGAACTCAGGCTGGGTGACTCCACTGTTAAGGCTTTGAGGTTACACAGCTCCGAGTTCATATCGACTCCGGCTTAATTTCTTGGAGCCTCAGTTTCCCCACCTGTTACGTGGATGATAAGCAGTACTTAACTCCCGGGGTTGCTAGAGAATCTAAACGCCTCCAAGCACCTATGGCAAAGCAGGATGGAGCGGTGCCAGGCACACAGTCCCTCCCGAATTCTGGCCAAACCTATTCACACTTCTTATTGCAGCAAGCGATCACTTACCTGGGTGCTTAGGAGCCTGGCTAATCTCTCTTTCCCAGGCGGTGTCTGGCTGCCAGCCCAGGGCCATCAATCGGCTTTGTGGGTGACAGTCCTGACAGGTCCCTTGTCTCCAGGGACAGCCTTAGAGGCTGAGGGTGACCGATAGCCATCAACACCTGGGGATCCTTGTCTGGGCAGTGGGGTGGGGAGGGGTGAGGGTCACCTGAGGACACTCTGGTCCTTGTCCCTGGGCCCTGGCCTGTCTCAGCTCATCTGACAAACCTTCCTAGTCCAGAGCCAGAAGTTTGGGAGGGAGCCAGGACCTGGGATACCTTCACCTTGGGTCACCATGACCCCACAGGACTGAAATCCAGCCCTCAACCAACTTCTGTGTGATTGGGCAAGTCTCCCACTCTGTTTCTTCCCCCACAGAACATGAGTGGTCACCTCTTGTGACAGAAGGGGGCTGTGGGAAGAGACTTGTCACTTCCAGGACCACTGTCACCATTCTCTGAGGAGGCTAAGCTCTGACTCAGTACACACACCAGTCCTCCTAAGCCCTGAGTGTCTAGGATGGGCCCAGAACCAGCCATGCTCCTCCCCTTGCCTGCCACCAACACCTTCCCCCAAGTCAGTCAGTCAAAGGGGACTGACTGATCCTGTCCCTTCCCTGCTCAAGACCCCCCCCCTTTTTTTTTTGCAGTACTGGGGTTTGAACCCAGGGCCTACATCTTGAGCCACTCCACTTAACCCTTTTTTTGTGAAGGGATTTTTCAAGATAGGGTCTCTCAAACTATTTTCCCGGGCTGTCTTTGAGAAGTGATCCTCCTGATCTCTGCCTCCTGAGTAGCTGGGATTACAGGTGTGCACCACCTGTGCCTGGCTGCTCAAAGCGCTTGTGTGGCTCCTCAGTGCTTCCAGGAGAAAGCACAGCCTTCCTTATGGTTATGCTAACACCCACCCTGCCTCCTTTGCTGATCTTCTTTTCCTCTCTGTCTCTACCCTCTTCTCAGGAGAAGGCAGAGGCCTCCACGTCTTTCCTGGTTCACTTCTACTCATCCTTTGGTCTCAGCTTACCTTCTGGGACACTTGCCCTGCCCCCTACGCCGAATGGACACCCCATCCCTACAGATGCCAGTGCAGGAGCCTGTGTTTGCTGAGGGACTGAGAGGTCGATCTATGGACCCTCATACTCAGACACCTATTAGTCTAGGTCTGAACTGTGTGTTGCGGGGGTTGGGGAGAGACAGGGGGAAGAGGAGGCCCCCAAAGCCTGACACCTGCATGGCTGAGTGTGGCCACTGGAGGATGGAACGTTTAGTGCCAATCTGTGGCAGGGAAAAAGAGAAGCCAGCTCCACCCCTGCCTGATACTGCAAAAATAAAATAAAAGTGAAAAACACTTGGGGAAAATGTTCCTCCTCAGTTTTAATCAAAGGAATAAAAATGATAGCGATTGTTATTATACTAATTTTGCAAAAAAAAAATCCTTTTAAAAATCATAAAACTCAGTGCTAGCACAGTTGTGTGTTCAGGCCCTGTTACACAGTGTGAAATAGCACCCCCTCCTGGGTGTCCATGGAATAACATGTTTGGAGAGCTAATTATAATCTTTGACCCAGGTGATTCTACTCTAAGGTAAATGCTTTGTGCACAGATACTAATCATAGTTTCACGTATATGTTTATAAAAATGGAAGCTATAGAAATGTCCTATAAATAAATTGTGACTCACCCGCTTGAGGAAATAGTAAGCCATTAAAACGGGAATTATAAAACCAACACAGTGATAAGGAAACTGCAGGTGATAAAACAGTGAAAGAAAAAAGCAAGAGACAAACTTTCTATGTGGTGTGATTTCAACTAAGTGTCAGCTTCACAGGGACTGTGGCTCTCTTTCAGTTGTGGGCAGTCACACGACCAGTGAAATGCAAGCCACAGTCTCCTGGGGGAAAATTAGGGAAATACTTTGCTTTCTGATAAAAGGGATCATCATAGCTTTCACCATCTTTTCTTATCTTCTGTCTGCTTGAATTCAGGTGAGATACCTGGAGCTGCAGTAGCCTTCTTGTAACCATGAGGCAGAAAGCATGTCAAAAGCATCCTATCAAAGATGGTAGACCAGCCAGATTCATAGACCCTGGGTTGATGATGTAATTGAACCACTCCCCTAACCTGGAGACCACCTACCAGTGACCTTTTTGCCATGTGAGTAACATCAGCCCCATTAACTTAAAGCACTGTGGTTCCTTTCAGCTGAGAGCATTCCTAACTAAAGCCTGGACAAAGACTTGCAAATACAGCAGACACTGCACACAATTTGGAGCCTATCCTCATTGCTCCTCCTACTTTCTCTGTTTTTTTGTGGGGGAAGACTGGGGTTTGAACTTAGGCTTTGCACTTGCAAAGCAGTTGCTTTACCACTTGAGCCATGCCTCCAGCCCATTTTACTCTGGTTATTTTGGAAGTGGGGTCTTGCCTGGGCTGGCGTTGAACTGCAATCTTCCTGATCTCAGCCTCCGAAGTAGCTAGGATTACAGGCCTGAGCCACCGGTGCTGACTCTCCTCCTGTATTATTGTGTGATTTTCTTCAAGCCACTTCTGTTTGGCTAATGACATCACCTCTTGGGCTTTGGGGTGGAAAGGGACAGAAGAGGTGTTAGCTATAAGATGAGATTTAGTCTTAGACTCAGCCTATGAAAAGTGTGAACTAAAATGAAAGACAAAATGAGCTAATGTGGCCTGGGTATAGCGAGGCACATCTGTAATCCCAGCACTCCAGATTATCCTGAGTTCAAGGCTAGCTTGGGCTACAGAGTGAGACCTGGTCTCAAAAACCAAAAAGAAAAGAAATAAAAGAATGGAGGGAGGGAGGAAGAAGATAGATTGGCTATTGTGTCTCCAATGTCCCTCCAGGCTGCTACTCGGCTGGCCTGTCCCGGCTGCGGGCTGCTGGTGGCGCTGGTGGCCTTTACAGAGCCAGCGCCATGCTGCTCACCTGGCCCCGGCACCGCTGTGACTCGAGGTAAAAATAATCAGGGCAGGACAGATGTTTCCTTGTCAGCGACCAAGAGGGAAATAAATCTCACGTCCCCTCCAGCGAAAAGCTGCTCCCGGTCCCCCAGCTCCTGCCACCAACTGCTCACCACGTTGTGCCAATCCGATTTGGACGCCTGCGTGTCGCCCAAGAGGCCTGGCTGCGACTTCATCAGCCGCGGGGCGCTGGCCGCGCGTCCCCTGGGGCAGGGATGGCCAGCCCTTCTGCAAGTGGCCCAGGAATGCGCTCAGCATGCCGTGAGGCACCTGGGTGGTCCCGGATGGGCACAGTCCCAGCTTCTCATAGATCAGGAAGTCCTTCCCAATGTCCCCGAGCTCCTGGCCTGTCCCCACGCTCCCCCAATCCGTTTTCTGGGCTGTGACCACCCTCAGGATGACGCAGTCCTCCCCCCTGCTCCTCTGCCACGGAAGTTTGGAGGTTCCAGAGAGTTTGAGTCAGGCCGCAAGACCAGGCCAGACAAGCAGAGGGTCTCGCAGAGGATTGTGGTCATTTATTCCCAAAGAAGTGGGGTCTCACCTCCTTTCTTCCCCACCTGTCCTCCTGTACCTTTCCTGCTCCCTGCCACCCCCGCTCCCAGCTAAGAATTCCAGCTGGTCCCCATCCTCCTTAGCACCATGGGAACAGCATCATCATGACAACAGGACCATTTCCCCCCACAGGGCCAGGCAGGGACTGACCTGCCCAGAAGCAGTTGTATCCAAAGGACAGCATGCGGCATCACGCTGGCTTTGGGTTTTTTCATCAACTGGATACAAGAGGCATTTCTGACCCCACTCCAGTGACAGAAGACTCCTGTGTTTAGTTGCTTCACTTCTGGATCACTTAATTTTATGAGGGAGTAGAACAGTCTCGTGCATCACACGGTCATGTCAGGGTCAACAATGGACCACACATGCAACACTGCTCCCTTGAGGTTATCATGGAGGCTGGGCGTGGTGGTTCACGCCTGTAATCCCAGCTTCTCAGGAGGTAGAGGTAGGAGGAGCAAGGTCTGAAGGCCACTAGGCAAAGGCAAAAATCTGAAAAATAACTAAAGCAAGGGGCTGGGAGCCCCTGCAAGGGGCAGGTGGAGCACCTGCCTAGCAAGCAGGGAAAGAGTCACATGGCGTACAGGGCTACCTTGGAGCAGGAAGCTGTGGCACAGAGCCGGATGCAAGGAGCCCTCCAGCTGACCGTGATGTTGGAACAGTTAAGAAGGTCGCTTAATGCTTGTTGAGCAATGCATGGCTATACTTTAATAATGCAAATAAAGTTCAAAATAATACATTTTAAAATAAAATTTATCAAAGTTGGTTTTGTTTTTTACGTGGCTTAATTCTCAGGAGCGCTGGTTCTGTCTCAGTTTGGTTTACTTGCACAGTGAGGACAGAGCCTAGTGTCCTGGGCAGCCTGGAGCCGGGGACAGAGGACACTGCTGTGGTTGCAGGAGTGGGGACATAGCAAGGGGTGTTGTTGACCCCACCCTCTGCCATGGAGCCAATGCTGCAGCGTGGGGCTGTGGGCTGGATAGTTTCTGTTTTGTATATTTGGTAACTCAGAAAATCTGGAATTTTGTTTCTTGGGCCATGTGGGAATATTGCACCAAGGGGAGGTGTCTCCATGTTCCCGGGGACAATGGCCACTAGGCTAGTCCATGGTTGGGGTGGGCGTGGCGGGAGTTGTTGAGGCTGGAGGTTGGCCATTTGGGGGGTGATGGTTGGGGAGAGAGGACAGGAGGGAATTCTAGGTGTGTGGGGTGCTGGGGGGAGGGAAGAAGACCTGAGGCAGCTCAGAAAGCTAAAGCTACTCCCCCAAGGCCAGACAGCTGGAGAGGCTGAGGAGGGCTTTGAACTCTGGTCTGACTGTGACACACTCTGGTGGGTAGCTGGTGGGGTTGGCTTGAGCCGTCCTCCCTGGAGTCGACCTTGGAGCTCTCTGTGTCTTGTCTGCTGGAGCCTCATGCTGTGGTCTGCAGTGTCCAGCCTGGGAGAGGTCAGGCCACCACTCGCCAGCAGGCTCCTACATGGTCTCAGCACTGGAGAGATGGCTGCAGAGCCCTTTTCCCAGGCCCAGTCACTGCCAAGGGGTGACAGTGCCAGCCTGTGGGCCAGACAAGTGGGAGTCGGCCCAGGCTAGCAGTGGTGGGCATGTAGCCCACTTGCTCCTCTTGGGGACTACTTACCCATCACCCATCAATTCTGCCCCAGCTGCCCTCTTCTCAAGTGCAGACACACAGTACAAGCTCACTTGGTGGGGGCCTGAATCCTGGTTCAGCCATCCTCTGGTCCTGGGTGACGCCAGCTGGGCCTCTCAGAGCTCGACCTGGGGTGCCTTGTAGTGGAGGATGAAGGGCAGGAGTATTGAGGCCTCGGTTTCTGAGTTGGAAAGATGTGAATAGCGCTACTGTGGCCATGCGTAGTGGAATTAAGTTCAACTGCACATAACAAAGTGCTCAAAATCTCATCTTTCTAATATATAGTTGATAGATGAGAGAGAGAAAGTATAAAATATGGGGACCAGTCCAAGGCTCATGTAACTCACTGCAGTGGTCAGTCTCACCTCATATTCCAAAATAGCTTCCAGAGCTCCAGCCATCGCACAGATATTTCAGGCAACACCAAGGAGGGAAAAGAGAGGGCTCCTTCCATCTGGGTCAGCTTCTTTTAGTCAACCTTCCCAAATGTGTTACAGGATATTTCTTTTTATCATCTATCACTTGTTGTAGAAGAGTTTGAGAAATGTCATTTTTTATTAAAATGGGCATTTTGCTATCCCAAATAAAACCAGGTTTCTGTCTGTCGGTGGTATTTTCTGCCACATGCATATGCAGGAGGAAGGAATAAGACAAGCTGGTGGGGGTCAGGGAGACAGAGGCAGAGCAGAAGGGGCTGAGGTGTCCCTGAGGGCCTGAGTGGTCCCTGCCCTAGCCTCCCGGTGGCAGGGATCAACACCCCCTTCCTTGTTAGGCCAAGTTGAATTTGGTCCCCGTTGCTTGTAGGGGAGAGTGTGCTGACTTCGGGTAAGACCCTAACTTCTTGGAGTCTTGATTTTTTCCTTCTGAGAAATGGGGGTTCTATTGCCGCTCCTTCCCCAGACAGAGCTGTGACAAGACTGAGTGTGTGACATGGCCAGGGGACCTGCTTCTTCTGTGTCACCTGTTCCAGCACTGCTCCAGGTTGTCTGTGGACTTCATGGTCCCTGACTGGGGAGCAGGAGAGGGGACAGCTGAGCCTGGCACAGGTGCTGTCACTGCTGGATATGGTCGTAGTCCGGCCAGAAGGACTGAGACCTTCTGAGCGGGGCTGACAATACTGGGGGGTGGGGAGACCCAGTGGTACTGCTTCTGGGCTCCTGTGGGACCCTCTCTATGGTGTGTCCCTGTGGCATTGTGACTGCTGACCTCACCCCTCTCCCTAGGATGGTGTTTGGTTTCCATGACTGCCACAGTGAATCACCACAAATGGCTCAAAGTCGCAGTTCAGTGGCCCAGTTTGCGCTGGTGTCACCTGCCCTTCTATAGGCTCAGGGGGCAATGCACCCTAGGGCAGTGGGGCTAAGGTCCCCTTCTCCTGGTGCCAGTCAGGTGCTGGACCTTGTCTGGAGGAGACTGGGTCCTTCCTTTCCTGTGTCTTCCATGCCCCTCCCTTGCCGCTGCAAGGCAGGTGGGTCTTCCACTTCCTTCCCTCCCACTTCCCTTTCTGCCACATTTCTTTGTCTTCCTCTTCAGCCTGGCGCTCCTGTCACATCTTTTCTTTCTGCTTCTTCTGCCTTCCTTTCCTGTTTTTAAGGGCTGCTGGGATTACATTGAGCTACAGGCTGCTTAGTGACCTTAATTACACCTGCAAAGTTTATAGCAGTCGACATGAATTCTTCAGGATTTTCTAGGGAAAGGGAAGCAACAGGATGTGTATGCAGACAGACAGACAGACAGACAGGCATACAGATACATAGAGATTTTAAGAGACTGGCTCACGTGATTGCAGAGGCTTGGGAAATCTGGGCTGCAGGCTAAGCCAGCAGGCAGGAAACCTAAGGAAACCCTGATGCTCACGTCCAAAGGCTGTCTGCTGGCAAAGCTCCTTCTTGCTCAGGAAATTCAATCTTTTTTCTCTTTTTTTTCTTTATTCATATATTCGTATGTGTATACCAATATTGTTTGGGTCATTTCTCCCCCCTGACCCCTGCTCCCTCCCTCTCCTCCTAACCCCCCAGTCTCTTTTCTCTTAAGGCCTTCAGTTGACTGGACAAGGCCCACCATGTTCTATGCTCTACACAAGCACTGTGATGTGCTGGGCTCTACTCAGTGTGCATTGATTTAAATGTTAAACTCATCAAAAAAAAAACAAAAAAACAAAAAAAACCCCAAAAACCCTTCATAGAAACATTCACAGTAATGTTTGACCAAATACCTGGGCATGGTGGCCCAGCCTAGCTGACACATAAAATCACACAGATGCACGCAGATGCAGTAGGTAGGTTAATGTTTGGCTGAATACCAGCCATGCACGTGATGGGGGGAGGGCTGCACACCTAGCATTGTGACAACCACATGTGGGTGTGTAACTCAGGCTCGTCATCAGGGTAGTTAGTCCCTGCCCCTGACTTTGGACAGCCATCGGGTCTTCTACCAGCATTGCTGGGAAGTCAGGCTCTTCTGACTAGGTGGCCAAGCTGAAGGAGTGGCACCATCTCTGCCACAATTTGGGGGGACAAGCAGGAGAAAGCAAACTTAAGAGGGCGAAAATTCCAGAGGCCATTCTTTGAATACTTGCCTCTAATCAGATCTGAAGCTAGCACTGATCAGGTTGGCCAAAAAACCAATTCTCCAAAAACCAGTTCATGAAAAATAGGAGCCAGTGGTAAGTCACTTCCAGAGTGAACAACTTACCAAATGGATCTGTTGAACAAAAAAGATTTCTTTTAATTTTTTTTGGCAGTGTTGGGGTTTGAACTCAGGGCCCCATACTTTCTAGGCAGGCACTCTACCACTTTTTAAACATTAATGACATTTGTTGTCATTTTGTGTTGGATGGATGGCCATTGATAATTTTTGCAAAAAGTTTAGTTGACTGGTTTCGACTGTCCTTTTAGCAGCATCTTAGGGAATGTTCAATCTGTTATGAGCTAAGGCTCTAGGATGATTTAAGCTTTTTTATATTTATATGTATTTGCAAGTCTTCCTATATTACCTTGAATTAGTTAGGACATGCTGGGTTATGCTCCATTAACAAGCAGTTCAAAAAAAAAATCTCAGAACTTTGAAACAACAGCTGTGTGGTCTGGTGTTTTGTACACGCTTCAGGTCCGTCATGGGTAAGCAGAGTTTCTGCTTCTGTGGCACAGGATGTCGGGAATCACTGTGGCTGAGGTGGAAAGAAAAAAGGGCTGAGAAGAAACTCGAGCTGGGTTTCAATGCTTCAGTACCAGGGGACGTGCGCTTTTCAGTTCACTTTTTCACTACTCTTGCCAGCCACAAGGGAGGGGGTCCAGAAAGTTTAACCTCCTGTGTGCTCAGAAGTCAGGACTAGAAACATTTGAACAGACTAATGACTGCTTCATTGCAAAAAGCTTTGGCCCTTTCCTATGGGAGGGATGCTGACCATTCAGATAGTTTGCAACCTACTTGTTCCATCATTGTCTTTTGTTGCTAAACCTTATTCTTTTAGAGTATTTCACTAGTGTTTGATGTGTCAGTTCAACCTTGGCTTCTTTTTCTAGCAATCAAAAATGTTTATCAATGGTCTGGTAGAGTGGCTCAAGTGGTAGAGTGCCTGTCTAGCAAGGAAGAGGCCTTGAGTTCAAACCCCAGTACCACCACCAAAACAACAACAGCGACATAGAAATATGTATCAAGAATCTAACGTGTACTGCTGGGAAAACTGGTTAGCCATCTGCAAAAAACTGAAACTAGATCCATGTATATCACCCTATACCAAGATTAACTCAAAATGGATCAAGGATCTTAATATCAGACCACAAACTCTAAAGTAGGAAAGAGTAGGAAATACTCTGGAATTAATAGGTATAGGTAAGAACTTTCTATGGAACCCCAGCAGCACAGCAACTAAGAGATAGCATAGATAAATGGGACCTCATAAAACTAAAAAGCTTCTGTTTCATCAAAAGAAAATGGTCTCTAAACTGAAGAGAACACCACAGAGTGGGAGAAAATATTTGCCAGCTACACATCAGACAAAGGACTGATAACCAGAATATA